TCATCCAAAAGGCCCCAAAGTGTGTCCCCTGATAGCGCGCATTGCCGTCACCTTGAATCCAGCCAGCCACATGCGCGTGCACAGAGCCCAACCCGCCACTGCTGCTGCCGGACCTGCAGCTGGTGCTCCGGGAGCCAACCCCAGCCCGCCAAGTGTCATGAGGGCGTGGCGGCGCACAAGCAGGGGAGTGCCGCCCACGTAGCCTGTGAGGCGCCTCCCTGCCTCCTCTCTGCCCCCTGCATCACCACTCTCACTCACGCCCCCCCCCTCCCTCTCCTCCTTGCCCACCGCACCCCACTGCGCCATTGCTGCCACCACTGCCCCACCACCCACCTCCCCCTCCCATTCTCCTTGCCTGCCCTCCCCCTCCTCCTCTGCCCTCCCCACGCCCCTCTCCACTCTGCTTGTCCGCACGCCCACCACCCCCATGCGCCCATCCTCGGCCATCCCTGCAGTCAGCTGCTCCAGCCACTTGCACGCCTCCTCGCCCTCCCCATGCATCACAGCTGGCAGGTCTCGCCACGTCAGCAGGAGCAGCAGGCGGCCAGTGGCAGCGCGGGCCAGCAGCTCGAATCCCTCCCACTCCGCCATCGGGGCCATCCGCGCTGCACGCGCACCGCCTTCTGCCGCCTCACCGCCACCACCCTCTGCGCCGCTCACCTGCACGGCAGCACCATGAGCATGCGGCGCCACAAGCGGCAGCACGAGCATGAGCTGCGGGTCAATGCTGCCACCCGCCGCTTGCCACGCCTCCACCCCACCTGCCTGCTGCCCCTCGCCCCATTGCTCGTCGCTTGGCTGCCCATCGCCCTGCTGCCCTGCGTGTGTGCTGTCAGGTGGGAGCAGCAGCAGCAGCTCCGCCAGGGAAGGGCCCATGTGAGGAGCGGAAGGAGTAGTTTCAGCATCAGGGGTGGGGTTGGGTGGTGCTGCTGCTGCTGCTGGGTGCATGCGAGGCAGTGTGGAGGCGCAGGCATGAAGGCGCTGAACCACCTGCTCTGGCGCCACTGCTGCCACCGCAGGCTGCGCTGCTCCTGGATCTGCCAGCAGCAGAAAGGAGATCTCGGGAGCATCCCTCTCCCCCTCGCCTGCTGCACTGCCTGCATTCACCCCCCCTCCTCTCTCGCTTGCAGCAGCACCCTCCGCCCCAGCTGCTCCTCGCTCGCCATCCCACAAGCCGCCGCGCCACCAGAGGTGAGGCGGGGCAGCGAGGGCAGCCGTGAGGCGGTGAGAGGGGCGAGCCTCTTCCCACGCCACACACCACTTGTCAAACGCTGCCCCCGCCACCGCTCTGTACCGCTGCAGCTCGCCGTCGTGCCGCTCCTCCCACACCGTGCCCCCCGCCTTCACGCCACACCGCAGCCACAGCCGCCGCTCAGACCACTCCAAGGCTGACTGGGCCGCCGCCAGGCTGGCAGAGGCGGCTTGCAGGCGTGCTGACGTGGCGTCGATGAGGGATTGCACGCGAGGGGCGAGTGGGTGGGTGGCGTTGGGGGAGAGGAGGGCAGCGAGGGGCAGCGAGAAGAGCGAGGCGAGCGGGCGAAGGTAGAGCAGCAGGCGGTGGAAGGAGTCCACGTGCGCTGGCAGGTGTGGGGGAGGGGTGCAGCACACGAAAGGAGGGGGGTGGAATGGCGCGCGGGGTATGGGAAGGAACGATTGGGGAAGAACCTGGCATGTGACAAGGGATGTGAGAGGGAGCTGACTGAAGCACACAAGAACAGATACGCCCACCTGAATAGTGCCACACGACCACTGCATCTGTGCATGGGTGCATAGGTGGAGGTGCGTGAGCACATGAGCGCATGAGCGCATGAGTGCATGGGTGCATGAGTGCATGGAAGCATGAGTGCATGAGTGCATGAGTGCATGAGTGCATGAGTGCATGAGCGCATGAGCGCATGAGTGCATGAGTGCATGAGTGCATGGAAGCATGAGTGCATGAGTGCATGGAAGCATGAGTGCATGAGTGCATGGAAGCATGAGTGCATGAGCGCATGAGCGCATGAGTGCATGAGTGCATGAGTGCATGAGTGCATGAGTGCATGAGTGCATGAGCGCATGAGCGCATGAGTGCATGAGTGCATGAGTGCATGGAAGCATGAGTGCATGAGTGCATGGAAGCATGAGTGCATGGGTGCATGAGTGCATGAGTGCATGTGCGCATGTGTGCACGTGTGCACGTGTGCATGGGTGCACGTGTGCATGGGTGCACGTGTGCACGTGTGCACGTGTGCATGCATGACAAGGCAGCAGCGTACGGGCATCAGAGGGCGAGGCAGTGAGGTTGGCCTCCACATCCCCCACCGTCACCACTCTGCCGGCGCGCACCGCCTCCCCCGCCATGCTGCCTGCGCCCTCGCCCTCGCCCCACTGCTGCTGCCGCTGCAGCACCGCCCACGCCTTGCCCGCCCTCTGCTCTGCCTCCACTCGCGCCCGCGCTGCCATAATGGGGTACGAGGGCAACGCGCACGGGGCATGGGGTATGGGGCGAGAGAGGAATGAGGGCGAATGGGAGGGCGAGAAGTGGAGAAGGGAGGGACAGGACACGGAGTGCAGTGTACAGAGCACGTGCTGCATGCATGCATGCCTTTCATGCCACCACTGCCACACGCACATGCCACCACTGCCACACGCACATGCCACCACTGCCACACGCACATGCCACCACTGCCACACGCACATGCCACCACTGCCACACGCACATGCCACCACTGCCACACGCACATGCCACCACTGCCACACGCACATGCCACCACTGCCACACGCACATGCCACCACTGCCACACGCACATGCCACCACTGCCACACGCACATGCCACCACTGCCACACGCACATGCCACCACTGCCACACGCACATGCCACCACTGCCACACGCACATGCCACCACTGCCACACGCACATGCCACCACTGCCACACGCACATGCCACCACTGCCACACGCACATGCCACCACTGCCACACGCACATGCCACCACTGCCACACGCACATGCCACCACTGCCACACGCACATGCCACCACTGCCACACGCACATGCCACCACTGCCACACGCACTTGCCACCCTTCCTTCTGCCGTGCTTTCCCACGTCCATCCCCCAAGCCAGCCCAGCCCGCCCTGTGTGTTGTCACCCTCAACGCACCTGCAGCGACTGCCCGCTGCTGTCTCTCCACCGCACACTGCAGCACCATGCACCGCCTCACCCCCTCCCTCCCACCGCCCCATATCTCCCCATCCGCTGCGCCCTCCCCCTGCCCCTCTCCCGCGCTCGCCCCTGCTGCACCATGCCCCATGCGCCCCACGCGCCCAGCCGCCTGTGCCTCGCTGACAAGGGACGAGAAGTCCGCCGTCTGCCCTCCCGCCGCTGCCACTGCACCAAGCACCGCCTGCTCTGCTGCCTGCAATGCGCCTGCTGCGCCGCCTGCTGCCTGCCCCTCCGCGCCTGCCTTGCTTGCCTCCCCCTGCCTCGCCCTCACTGCCTCTGCCAGCGCCGCCAGGGATTCCGGCTGCACCAATGACACGGTGCCATGTGGCATGAGACGCTCCCTCTCCAGCTCCTGGAGCAAGGCAGCAGCAGGGAGCGAGAGACAAGTTGGTGATGGGAACGAGATAACTCAAGTGCACCGCTCCTGCCACGCATCATCCCCCACCCATCCCCTTTCATCACGCTCCCTTAAACAGCCACCATTCCCCTTTCAACCCTCCAATAAAAATCTGTAATTTTGAGCCGGGTGACTCAAAAGCTATCCCCTTGCCCTGCCTCCCCCCGGCCGCGCATCACCTGCAGGGCGGCTGAGAGCACGGCGTGCATGCCATCACCTGCAGGGCGGCAGTGAGCACGGCGTGCATGCCCCTCTCGTCCTCCTCCGCCACCGCCACCGCCTGCTGCTGCTGCCGCATCACCTGCCCGTTCGCCTCCACCAGCGCGCGCACTGCTGGGTGCCTGCCAGGGGGCGCGCATGCAGATGCGCAGGGCGACGAGGGACGGGAAGCATCTGTGGCGCGCGAACAGCGTGCATGGTGCGTGCTGAGTGCGTGCATGGTGCGTGCTGAGTGCGTGCATGGTGCGTGCTGAGTGCGTGCATGGTGCGTGCTGAGTGCCTGCTGAGTGCGTGCATGGTGCGTGCTGAGTGCCTGCTGAGAAGGGGGGAAGAGCGTGCACGGCCAGGAGGTGGGCGAGGGCACGAGAAGTGCGTGCGGTAGCAGGCGTGCATGACACCCACCTGCCTTGTAAATCACGCATGGCAGCATCTCCCGCCCACACCTCTGCTGCCTCCGTGTCACCATCGCTCTCACCCGCCGCACCACCACTGGCAGATGCAGTGCCCGAGTCAAGGGCAGCGAGGGGCGCCAAGGGCAGTGCGGCACTCGCAGCAGAGGCACGCGGATGAGGTACCACAGGCTGGTCCCACGATGCTGCCGCTCCCCCCTGCCACGCCCCTTGCCCCTCCTGCCACGTGTCCGCGTGTGATTGCAGCAGGAGCCCCTCGTCCCCTCCCTGCGCGCCCAGCGGCGTGAGCGCGAGGGGCAGCAGCAGCAGCGAGCACGCCACCGCGCCCAGCCCGGCGCCCAGGGCGAACGGCGCCGCCCACGTGCACGCCGCACTGCCAGGGGGGTCGGGCACGCGCGCACGTGGAGGGGGTTAAGGGGAGAGCATATGCGCACTGGTGTGGGACAAAGCGGGCGCGCGCATGGGTGCGTACCTCAACCAGGGGCGGGGCTCGGCGGATGCCCCGGCGGCAGCGGGCGCGCCAGTGGCGGCGGTGGAACGATGCGGGTAGAAGTCGCCTGGAGGTCGCAGGGAGAGGGGTGGCAGGAAGTGGGGTACCAGGGTGGCGCTTGCGGGATGCGGTGGAAGACGAGGAGGATGGGGGCAAGAGAAGGAGCGAGGCTGGCTGCTGTGATCAATGGGGGAGGATACACACGCATTCGCGGCTGGGTGATCACAACAGTACGGGAGTCCCTATCGCTATCGAAATGAGGTCGTTTCACGAGACGCTTACGCGGTGTGACGTGGAAGCGCATTGTCGCTGCGGCTGGAGGTTTCTATGAACGCATTGTTGTGAATCGGTAACGATCTAGCCACACGCGGGGAGGCGCAGACGGAGAAGCGGCGGAGCAGAAGAGCGTACGTGAAGAATTTGCGTGCTTCTACAAGCCGTGGTGGACGAGCCCGAACAGAGGGCGAAAACTCGGTGAAAATGGCGGCACGCGGAACAGACACAGGACAGGAAGCTCAGAGTTACCAGGAGTAACCAACCATCCTTAGGATGTGATCAGGGATGTAATTGTATCAGTGAACTCGTTATTGCCTGCCTAACATGGTGTGTAAAAATCATTATACAATTTGGGTAAGTCCAAAATGTGTGCTATCCATCAGCTTCCTAATGGCTACCGGTATTTGGTAATTCGAAAAAATCCCCAAGGCTATGTGGCGGCGGCCTTCTTTTTCTTCTTTGGTTTCTCAGCACAGGCTGCTGCCTCCCCTGCAGCCTCGGCCTTGACCTTCTTGCTCTTCTTGCCACTGCCTGGCGTCTCCCCATCCGCCTCTGCTGCTGCCTTTTTCTTCTTCTTTGGTGTCCCCTCTGCTGCACCCCCTGCTGCCGCCTCGCCTTCTGCCATCACCACCAGCCACACGAGCACAAGAGGACAAGAATGCAAGGACGGGTTGAGCAAACAAATACGTAGCAAGGCACGGGCTGAGGTTACAACTTGCCACGCAACTCAGGTGTGCTGCACTGGGTTCATCATCTGTTGCTGGTAATTACAGACATCACCTGTTGTCCAGCAACCACCCTCTCACCATGTCGTGACGACACACTCGGGAGCCCAGCCCACCTGCAGGTCGCTTGGTGCCGACATCAGCCTCTGCCTCGGCCTTGGCGGCGGAGATGGCGGCCTTCATGACGTCGAGGTTGCGCTTGGGCGCCACGCCCTTGTCGTAGAACTCCAGCCGGTCCTCCACCTGCTGCTTCAGCTTCTCGCCAAACACACTCGTCGATGCCTCTGCACGTGCAGCAACCGTGGCACAGGGAGGGTGGTAGCAGCAAGAGAGGGACGAGATGAGTTGGTGGACAGCCAGAGGGCAGCAGTCTAGCTGGCAGAATCGAGGTGTGTGGATGGAAGGAGGTGGCAGCATCAGTCCAAGGTGAATGGGGAGGACAGATGTAGAGACATGGAAGTGAACAAGAGAATGGGTGGGGTGGGGGTTACCTGAGAAGCAGTCGATGCGCGAGGCCATACCTGAGAAGCAGTCGATGCGCGAGGCCATGGAGCACTTGTTGGCGAGGTAGCGGCTGATGCGCCCCTTGTTCTTGGCGGACGCACGCCCGATGAACGACGAGTGGAAGATCAGCCCGTACTTGGGCGTGTTGCCCTTCGTCTTCAGCGCCCTGCCACCACCACCACGCAGAGGACATTTGGGATCAGGTTTCAATGTGGAGGCGTGAGGTGTGGGGGGTCAAGGAGAGGGGAGAGAGGTGTGTGGGAGGAGAAACTGATGGAAGAGGGAGCGTGTGCGGTGGGCGCGCACCTGAAGAGGGCCTTTTCGGCGCCGAGGATCTGCACGGTGCTGGCGGGGTACTTGGCGAGGTTGGTGAGGCTGCCCGCGTGCGAGATGAGGCGCGCGCCCACCATCTCGCCGATCAGCGCCGCCAGGTTGGGCGCCACGTCGTGCATCTTGGCGGACAGGTACGAGTGCAGGTCGCGCCGGTACTCCACCAGCGCCACCACGCGCGACGCGAACGCCTCTATGTTGATCAGGTCGATCGGCGAGATGTCCTGGCCTGTGGGGGGTAGCGGGGGGGAGGGGGAGGAGGGGGGTAACGAAGGAGGGTAAGGGGGCAGCGCAGGGCGGAGGTTGGGGGACGCTGAGAGGGAGCGCGGAGGGCGGTGAGGTTGAGGAGGAGGGGAGCGGAAGGGAGCTGCATGGATGGATGGGGCGGGGGAAAGCGCGGAGGGGGCGAGGGGAGTACGCAAGGAACCTGGCGCTCGAACGCGAATGCAGCAAATCTCACATCGCCGCCCCACCAGCAAACTCTCACGCCAACACCACTGCCTAAACCCCTGCCCCGCACTTCCCCTCCCCCACCCTCCCTCCTGCTGCCTCTGCAACCCTCGCTCCTCTGCTTACGCGCCCCATCTCTCGCCGCGATGCCCTGCGTGCCCCCCTGCCTGCCCCCAGCCAGCAACACAACATCCCTCCCTTTCGCCTTCCTCCCTCCCCCCCGCCCCCGCACGGACCCATGCTGGCCTTGGCGGCGTCGAGCACCTCCTTGGCCTTGTCCTCGTCGCCGATGATCTCCGTCAGCTCCGCCAATGCCTCCTCCGTCAACGTCGCCTTATCCTTCACGCGCCGCGCCACGCGCGCGTACGTGTAGTTGTCCGTCACGATGCGGGCGAGCTCGGGGAAGTGCCACGAGTACCACTCCCTGCGCCGCCACGCACACAAGGGCACACACAAAGACGAGTGCGCACAGACACGCGATGAGAGGGGCTGCAGGGGGAATTGACGCGAGAGGAGCGTCCCAGGGTTCCGGGGATTTGGGCGCTCCGCGTCTCGCGTGGCTCAAACAAGCACAACCAGCCAAAGACGCCGCAACTGCACGGCGAATGCGCACGGGGCGAGCGGGAAGGTGGAACGGGGAAGTTACCTGACGCGCATGCAGAAGGTGTTGACGTCTTTGTCGAGCGTGTCGAGCAGCGAGATGGCCTGGATGATCATGTTGTCGACGCGGTTCACGTTGAACTTCACCTTGCTGCGGCTGTAGCTGTGCCCCAACCCCAGCTGCGCCTTCGCCACGTCGCCCTCCTTCAGCTCCTTCACGAACCGCGCGAAATGCAGCCGCACGCCGCGCATGAGCTCCATGACGAGGTCGTTGCTGACGCACGGCACGCCCGCCGTCTCCTGAATGGCGGAGCCGAGCTTCGACTCCGACACGCCCAGCTGGTACGACGCCTTCTTGCCCGCCTTGCCCTTCGCCTTGGGCAGATTCATCTCCAGGAAGCTCTGCAGCTCCGGGGTAAGCAGCCCTGCCATGCACCACAAGCACAGCCGCGCCGTACAAGCAACAGCGTGAGCACCGTCGGCACGCCTCAGCACGAGCGCACGCCGCCACAAGCACCACGCACCCGAAGGACATGCCCCGTGCGCTAAGACGGTCTGCGCGGACTGCATTAGCGGAGAGCGTCGAACGGAAAGGCACGCGCATGGGGAGGATGGGACGGAGAACGAAGAGCTTACCTTCAGAGACGGCGTTGCATTGCTCGAGCGCGTCCGCCGCTGAGCTGAAGGGTTTGAATGCGGAGAGATTGACGACCTGGCTGAAGCGCGTGAGATCCGCCACGGACGCTTGGACAGCGTCTGAGCTTTGAGCCAACTCGTCCAGCGCCTTGACCTCGAACAGGCCGTAGCCTGACGACGACTCGAACAACAGGAATAACGCCTGCGCATCAGAAACGAGCCGCCAAAGGCGCGGGACGAGAGAAACGCGCGACACGACATCAATTCCAGAACATTTGCAGCATGCAGACGTGCCGACACGGAAAGCACCAAGAAACGTACCATTAGCAGCAAGCAACGGCGTGATGTCTATAATCTACTACTACCACACATTAACCCTGGAATAAACCCTTAGCCGCCTGGGACCCTAGCGTGAGCACTCTGGGGTTTGCTTGCAAAACACTGATGGCGAAGAGGCGAGGGGCAGAAACAAAGCAGAATCGATCACCCTTGCGGACCTTGGCTGCTCTCCCAGCCTCAGCTTTCAACCAGCAGGGAACACCTGCGACCTCGTGTTACATATATGCATCTTCCGACTTTCATATATCCATTGTACTGCTACTATACCATGTTGTTTATCCTTTGCCATTTAGCTATAGATGATTCATTTTAATGGATAATTACGACAAAATTTTCCTGAAAAACAAAATATTGGTTGCCTTGTCATTACTAATGGTGGCCAAACATATTTTCACAGTTTTTTTGACAAACAGTTCTCAGCAAACATAACCAATCGTCTTATGCTAGATCATGAGGTGGTACGCTTCATTAATTTTCATGTGGACCCCTCTTTACCCTTGTTGTATAATCTAGAGTTTCAGTTTAGCAGTATTCGTGTATACAGCCGTAAAGCAAGGTCTTGATTTTGGGCTTGCTCATAGCGAACCATGCTGGCGTAGGTGTAATGTTATCGTGTCGCGGTAACTACCATAGTTGCTCGTCAATTCTGTCTGGTGACTCTTCCAAGCATAAGCACCACCACAGCAGGCAACCTTTAGGCGACGGTCCGAGTGCGTGTCCAATCGCGCCGCTTTCTCGTGCTCCTGCGAATCTCGCATTGCCAGGAACCCGTATTTTTCAGCGTTTTGTGCTAGTTCCATCTGCCGCCTCGCTCGGGCCGCGTCTCGTCGCGGGCTGCGTCTTCTTGCACGGAGGGAGCACGCATCGGCGCGCAGCATGAAGACGGGCGGCACGTTTCAGGAGATCGTGGCGGTGGCGGTGTCGCTGGGGGGCCTGTGGGCGCTGCTCCTCGCGCAGCAGTTCCCGCCCGCCGTCAACCAAGTCATTCTCATCGTACGGCGCCACCGCTCCCCGCATCCCCGCATTTTCGCATCCCCGCCGTACCGCGCCACATGCCTCTGCCCTTCTCGTCGCACGCGCCGCTCACTGTGTTTCCCATTCTCTCCCCTCAATCCTACCAATCTTCTCATTCCGCCAACCACTCCTCTCCCACCCCACCCACCCCGCCCCTCTCCCTCCTTCCGCGTTTCCCCGGCCATCTGAACTTACTTGCATCCCCTGGGTGCTCGCGAGTGGCGCAGCTGCCGGTGTACGCGTTTGTGTCGCTGGGGTGCTACGCCGTGGGCGCGCTGGGGTACGGGCTTATGCGCTTCCCCACCTGCCCGCACGAGGGCGCGCTGCTGCGCCAGGTGACGAGCGGGTGTCAGTGTAGCGAAGGGTCGCTGTGTGGCCGCAGCGTGTGATTGTAGTGGGGGCCGTCATGTAGCAAGACTGGTAGTGCATGCGATGACAGGGGCATGAGCGGATGGCACAAAGTGGCAGGGGAAGGAGTGTGTGGCACATAGAGGCGTGGACGGCAGTGCTGACTGTTGCTGCTTGCGTCTGAGTGCTGCCCACATGACTGCATGGGTGCTCACTCCCTGACACGTGTGCATGGTGAATGTGTGGTGGCATGGCATGCATGTGTGCTGCCTTGAGTGATGTATGTGTGCATGGTGCGTGCAGGACATAGTGGAGGCCAAGGAGTATCTCTCAAAGCACGGCCTGCAATAGCCCCTCCCATCTCGTGCTCATTGCACCTCGCTGCACACCACACCATCCCTTGTCGTCACCATCGAGGCGGACCGCGCCGTCGCAACCCACCACACACCGTGTTGTCCCCTTTGTTTGAGGGCGAATCAATACATACATCGTTACAGACACCTGTAGTGGTTCGCACGTACCGTAACTATTACTATGAGCCCTGAAAGTGTATCCAGGGAGCCATATTTCAATAATGCTACTGGCTTGGCTGAATGGCAGCCGGCCTTGGGCTTGCCACGTGCCCCTCTAGGCCTGTGCTGTGCCTGCTGCCCCCACCCACTTAGCCCTATCGAGCGGCCGAGAGAACGAGCTTGGGGCGCGTCTTGAAGATGAGCTTGCACCGAATCACTCCCGCCACTCTGTACCCCACCCCTGCCTCCCCCTCCCCCGCCACTCCCCCACCCCCCTGCCCCACTGCGCCCTCACCACCCCCGCTCTCCTGCCTCCCACCCTCCACATCCATGCCCTCTGCCCCAACACGCGTGCCCCGCGCCCCTCTCTCTGCCTCTTCTGCTGCCGCCTCTCTCTGCCCCCCTCGTGGCAGCGGCACGGCTGTCTTGCGCAGCAGCACGAGCGGCTTGGGCAGCGCTGCCATGGCGCCCTCCAGCTGGTGGTGCCCCACCGTTAGCCTCACTGCGCCCTGTGCCGCGCACACATGCACACGCGGACACAGGCACACAGGCATGCATGAAAGACAGGCAGTGCAGTGACAGGGAGAGGTGGCATGCCTTGTCCCACACCCTCTTATGCTACCCGTCCCGCCACGAACAAGAAAGCCGTACTCCAGCGCCCACCACACAGCACATCACCTCATATTGCCCCATACCACGCCATATCATGCCACCAAACAACAGCACACCACACCCTGTCACATCTTCCCACATCCGCCACCCTGCTTCCCCTCCGCGCCCATCCACCCGTTTCTCTACCTCACGCGCTTCCCTCCCCTTCCCACCTGGCGCGGGCACGTCAGCACGCCAATTGGAGTGCACCCCTCCGCCCAAGCGCGCCCCGCGTCACAGTCACCCGCGCCGCCGCCCTCCGCGGTGCCAAGCAAGGATTTCTCGAGACCGTTTCCCCCGTCGTTTCCGCGCAACGCGGAGGCGAGCGCGGGCAGGTCGGCGCGCAGCTCGCCCTGCAGCTCCACCAGCGCCCATTGCGGGCACTGCGCGCCCCCCTCCGACTCGCACGTCACCCGTATGATCATCGCGCCCGCTCGTAAAGGTTGTCACGCAGACGTGGCGTTTTTCGGACCTGACTGATGGAATCAAAGCGCCGATAAGATCGCGAAGAACTAATAGGCGAAGAATTACGTGATGGGCTGAATGTGGAACGAATTCCCGATGGCGGCAGATAGTGGACACAATTTGGGGGCGAGGAGGATTGGCTCGGGTGCAACCAACCACATGCAAAAACTTGTAACCAACGTTTCGCGAGAAGAATCGTTTCTGCTTCGCGAGCTGGTTTCGTTTCCCAGCCCAACCCCCCAACACACGCATCTCTCATTTTCCTCGATTCCTCCCTCCCCACTCAACAATTCATTTCCGCCTCTATTCCCGTTCGCTAGCCGCTTCTCTCCACATATTCCCACGTCCCACCGCCAGCCCGCCATGGATCCCGCACCGCCGGTCCGCCCGCAGGTCGTGCGCGGGCGCAACGCGCTGGTGGGCGCGGTGCTGGTGGCGTTCGTAGGCGGCGTGTACGCGTACACCATGCGCGCCGTGGGCGGCTCCGACGACATCGGCGACGCCGTGCGACGACTGGAGAAGGAGCAGGCGACGAATGCGACGAAGGCGACGTAACGTAGAAGGGCCGATGGCGGAGCGGATGGCGAACGGCGAAAGAGTGGGTGCGCGCGACGAAGGGGCAGCAAGGTGGAATCGAATGTGCACTGGGGTGGGGGTGACTGATCGGAGCGGAGGGGTGGTTGGGGCGAGCATGCTCTGGAGACATGCGCGCCACGCGGTGATGCGGCCGCACCGCGCAGGCGCGCCTCTCCTCATGGCGTGCCGTGCGCTGGTGACGCCCCTCGCTGCGCCCGCTAGCTGTGGTGCTGGCTAGGGCAAGATACGGCACGGTGGCAGCAGCAAGCTAGTGTATGGTATGGGGCATAGCCGTAGTAGCCTGCTTGTTTAATAGGGTAGAATGGTCATACTGTCAAGGAATTAATAGTAGTGTTATTAATTTCAACCACATGGTTGCGATATGTACCTAGCAAGTACAGGTCATCGACTTCTGAAGGATCAATGTAAACTGGCAGCCTTGCAGGTGCACCCTGGAGTGCCTCGTGGGCTGCAGCAGGCATGAAGGGGGCATGTGTGTGGGCAATGAGAGCACAGTGAGTCCCCAAAAAGCCAGTCACCGGTGGTGCTGCAAGGCGGCAGGGTATTCTAGCACCTGGTTGGGTGAGGCCTTGCCATTCTTGAGCATCTCTCGTGCTTCTCAATAGCGTTGCGGCTCAACGCGGTGCAGCGACCAGCAGGGCAGGGCGGAGGTCAGCGCTGGCGGTGGGAGGCAATGAGGTTTTTGAGGACGTTGTTGGGAGTGAGGCTGGAGTGGGCGAGTGGCTGCCCCGTGGCGGGCGACAGCGTGCACGACGCCATCCACCGCTCCATGTGCTCCCTCTCGTACGTGAACCCGTCCGCCGCCACCACCGGCTCCCGCATCACCTCCTGTGATGGGCAGAGAGGAGGGACGGAAACGTGGGGGAGAGGGGGTAATGTGAATGGGGGGTGGGTGGAGGGGAGGTGCAGAGAGGGAGGGGAGAGGAGGAAGTGCAAGTACCAGAACAGTGGAAGAAAGGGGCTTAGAGGCACAATGCGGTACCTTGGAGATGGGGCAGAGGAACTGCGAGTCCATCTGCTGCTTGCGCTGCTTCACCTCCGCCTCCGCCTCCGCCGCCACCCTCACCAGCAGCGGGTGGATCTCCCCCACCAGCTCCGGCCGCTTGGCCCGCCGCCGCTCCGCGCAGCGCAGCGCCACGCCCACCACCTGCTCCACCAGATCCGCCCGCCACTCCCCCCCCGCCGTGTCCAGATACCGCATCACCACCGCCACTGCCGCCCGGCTCGCGCCCCCCGGCCCCACGTCCCCCGGGCGTGCGCGGCCCTTGGTGGCGGCCTCGGAAAGCATGCGGTGCACGGCCTTGACGCTCCTCTGCCCCGTGAGCAGCTGCAGCAGGATGAGCCCCAGCGCGTACACGTCGCTGAGCACGCTGATCTCACACGTCTCCACCTCCTCGGGGTCGATGTACCCCGCCGTGCCGCGCACCTTCATGGTGGTGGCGCCGTCCGCCTCCAGCAGCCGCGCCAGCCCCACGTCGCCGATCTTGCTCGCCAGGTGCCCGTCCAGCAGAATGTTGTCGGGCTTTAAGTCGCGGTGCACGATGGGCGGGTCGTTCTGGTGCAGGTACAGCAGCGCCGACGACATCTCCGCCGCGATGCGCAGCCGCTCCGCCCAGCTCAGCGGCACCGCTGCCGACCCCTTGGGCGGGCCGAGCTTGTCCTGTAGCGTGCCGCCCGGGAGGAACTCGTAGACGAGAGCCATTTCCTCGGTGCAGCAGCCCATGAGCAGCACGATGTTGGGGTGGCGCATGCGCGACAGCACCTCCACCTCCACTCTGAACTCGTCCGGCCCCTGCCACCCCTGCCCCTCCAGGCGCTTCACCGCCACCTTGCACCCCAGCATCTCGCCCTTGAACACCTGCCCGAACGACCCCCTTCCCAGAAGGTTCTCCTTGGCGTACCCCCCCGTGGCGCGCGCCAGCTGCTGCGCCGTGAACTGCCGGCAGTCAAACCCGTCGCCGCCCGCCCCGCCGCCGCCCGTGCCGAGCTGGCCGCTGCTGTAGGCGGCGCGGCCGAAGGAGGCGCCGTGGGAGTGCGCGTGCAGCGGGCCGTGCGACGCGGCCGCCAGCAGCGGCCCCTGCGACTGCCCGTGCCGCGCCGCCATCGCCGTCAGGTGCTGGAAGCGCGAGGGCGGCCGGTTCTGGGAAGCTTCCGAGGACTCGAAGCTGTCGAGCGGCAGGAAGGTGTCGGTGCTGGCGATGCTGCTGCCCGCCATGAGCCCCCCCGACCCCGGTATGCTGCCCGACTGCGGCAGACTGCCGCTCTGGGGGAGACCGCCGGACGGGGTGAGGGCCAGTGAGGGGGGCAGCGGTGCCGTGCTGTCGGGGGTGCGAGCGTTGGGCGTCTGGGCGCGTGCAGGGGCGGGGTGGGAGAGGGGAGAGGGCATGAGTGGGGAGATGCATGGCATGGTGTGGTGGGATGGAATGTTGAAGAGGGTGAGAACCAACTCTACCCCGCCATGCATCACATGCCACGCACCCTACTCTATGCATCACATGCCACGCACCCTACTCTATGCATCACATGCCACGCACCCTACTCTATGCATCACATGCCACGCACCCTACTCTATGCATCACATGCCACGCACCCTACTCTATGCATCACATGCCACGCACCCTACTCTATGCATCACATGCCACGCACCCTACTCTATGCATCACATGCCACGCACCCTACTCTATGCATCACATGCCACGCACCCTACTCTATGCATCACATGCCACGCACCCTACTCTATGCATCACATGCCACGCACCCTACTCTATGCATCACATGCCACGCACCCTACTCTATGCATCACATGCCACGCACCCTACTCTATGCATCACATGCCACGCACCCTACTCTATGCATCACATGCCACGCACCCTACTCTATGCCTCCGCCCATCGCATGCACCCATCCAACGCCCCACCATGCACCCATCCAACGCCCCACCATGCATCAGATTCCACGTACCCCGTTGCGCCCAGCCCAAGCTGCAGCCTCGGCGTCACTGCCAGCGCTGCTGCCCGCCCCGCGGTTGCTGCTCACAGCGCGCCCCCGCCAGCTCTCACCCGACCCCTTGCGCTCTCCCCCTTCGCCCCCCTCACCCCCCTCGTCCTCCGCCGCCAGCGCCGCCAGCTCGTCCGCCAGCGACCGCCCGCGCGCCCCCTCCTCGCCCTCCCCCTCCCCCTCCCCCTCCTCAGCTTCCGCCCCTCCCCCGTGCCCCTCGCCCTCCTCCTCGCGCAGCGCCACCAGCGTCTCGTAGCTCCGCACGCGCGACAACGACCCCCCGCCCCTCCGCGCTCCCGCTGCGCCCCCCACTGCTGCGCTCCCCACTGGCGCAGGTGGCGCGGCTGCAGCGGGGGCAGCGAGGGCGCGCGCGTCGAAGGAGGGGCGGCGCGGGGGCAGCAGGCGGCGCTCCATGGACGTGGCGGGGGAGCTGCCCGTGCTGCTGGGGGCCGTTCCCGCGTCCCCCTGCGCGCCTGCCGCAGCCGCCACGGCAGCCGCGGCGGCGGAGGAGGTGGGCGCGGAGAGAATGCGCGGGAAGTGGCGCTGCTGCGAGGATGCCAGGTCGGGGGACAGGGCGAATGGCGCAGTGCCCGCGGCGGTTGCGCGCGCTCCCCCAGCAGGGGAGCGGGGGGGTTTGAATCCGGGGCCTAGGGGCGACGTGGCGTGGCCTTGCGACAGCGACCCTGGCGACACAGGGTAGTCGCAGTCCTGCGACAGACTCAACCCCGCGCGCATGCCCATGCCCATGCCCATACCCGCGCCCATTCCCATGCCCGGTGCGCCATGCGCGGAGCCCTGGCTGGTGGGGGACGCGCTGGGCGCGGAGCCGGTGCTAGCGGCGTGTGGCGCGGGGAGCGGGCTGCCGCGGAGCTGCTGCTGAATGCGCTGCTGCAGCGCCACCACCTGCTGCAGCTGCCGCTCCAACTCCGCCCGGCTCGCCCCTTCTCCCCCCTGCGCCGCCTGCGCGCTCAGCTCCTGCAGCTGCTGCAACAGCAGCCCCGAGTCCGCGTCCTCCCCGCCCCCGCACGACGCTGACCTATGCCCGCGCGCGTGCGCCCCCCACCCGTCCCTTTGCCTGCTCTCCTCCGCGTTCCCCGGCGCCTCTCTTCCCGCCCCCACCTGCTGCTGCACGGTTTCCATCTGGCCCTGCGCAGAGGGGAAGCGCGCGGAGGCGGAGGAGATCGACGAGGGGGAGGCGAGCGCGGCGTCGGGGGCTTGCAGGGGGAGCGACGTGGAGGAGAACGAGGGGGGGAGGCCGCGCGGCGACTGTTGCACGGCCGCGGCGGATGCGGAAGCGGTAGGGGCGGCGGGGAGCGGCGTGGCGGAGGAAGGCGCGGAGGTGGAGGAGGGGAAGGTGTAAAACGGGGGGGGGATGGGGTGGGCGGAGTGGGCCTTCCCCGCGGCGTGAAGGCTCTGCAGTCGCGAGCCGCCCTGCGCGATGAAGAGGCGGCAGGCGGGCGGCAGACTCGCCTGGCACTGCGCGACGGTCGCCGACGACGACCACCCCAACAGCCTCCTGCCACACGGGGCGGACGGGGGAGGGGCGAGGGGCGGGGGGCGAGGGGCGAGGAGTGAGCGAGGGATTCGAGAGCGTCAAAGAAATTCTGGAGTTCTCTAAGAATTGTACGGAGCGAGGTAGACCCCCCATGTGTGCCACCTCAGCATTCCTTGCCTCACAATATTGCGACAATCCAAGTGGCTCGTGACCTCTTCTTCCCCCCTCCCCTTTCCCCCCTCCCTTTTTCCCCTTCCCCACCACCCCCCCCCCTCCCCTCAATCTCCGCGTACTCACTTCTTCGCGCCCATGTAAACGCGATCCGCGGTTGCGCGCCTGGCGGCGGCGACGAGGCCGTCGTGGCGCGAGTCGTTGAGCTCCATCACCGCGGAACACGGCGCCTGATGCGGGTGCAGGGAGGGAAGGAACAAGGGATACGAGTGAGTGAGGGACGCGTGGAGATGAGACGAGGCGGATCAAGTGGATTTTGGAGAATACTTGGCTTGTGGATCAGAAACCAACTGGTCAACGGAATGTGAGGAACGCGGGGAATGCGAGGTTACGCGGGTGGGAGCAAAAGAGTGTACGGCATCGCTGCCCGTCCTTGGACATGACCGTTTGACTATAAGCGGCATGCGGGCGGGACGCACTTTGGCGGCGCGGACGAGCGCGAGGAGCGGCTCGAGGAGCACGTCGACGAGCTTCTTCGCGTGCTCCGTCGCCGCCTTGCCGTCCGCCTCGCTCGCTGCCACCGTCCGATTGCCTGCACGCGCAGAGATGTGCGGAGGGTGGGGAGAATAGGGAGACAGACGGGGAAGTAAAGGGAAAACGTGAGGAGGGCTGGGCAAAAACCATACGAAGAGGTGCATACAATGCAGGACGAGCCGAACCGGGTTGGCTACAGACGAGCAAGTGGCGGGAATAGGCATGATGAAGCTCACGTCCGCAGGGGACCTCGGTGATGACGTGGACGAGCAGAATGCTGGCCGGCTCAGCGGCGACGTGCTCGACGGCCGCTATCACCGCGTCTCTGCTCGGCTCGCGGTGCCGCGACACCTCCACCACCCACGTCGGCAGCGCGCGAGTGAGCGCCATCGGCGTAGCGAGTCCTCCGCTGTCGCCCATCGGCATGGCGCGGATCGCACGGTTTCGTTTCTTATTTCAACATTCGTGGTGGAATTAAGGCGGTAATGATCGAGATAAATGACACCTGTAATCGGAATGCGATCAAGCGCCTACTTTATACGCTCGTGGGTGCCAACAAAAGACAAGCAACGGCGTTCCGAAGACACTAAAGGGGCAGCTAGCTCAGTGGTAGGCCCGTACAGCTACGAGGAGCAAATGGGTCGTGGAAGAGCGTCTAGTCAATGCAGTGACAGCAGTGTGAAGCTTGGGGACAGCCGAACGGGAGTTGTAAAATGAAGAACCCTGAACTGCGCAGCCATGGAATGGATACGCAAGCTGAAGCTGGTTGTGCTGCTGTGCCATCCTGCAGTGCTGTGTGGAATGAAGCGGGGCGCTGTGGGGAGGGGGAGGAAGAGGACAGGCGGAGCAGGTGGTGGTGGTTGTGGCTGGAGGTGGGTCGGTGGCGGTGTTGCGCGCGCGCGGGGGGGGCACTGTATGAGTGGTGGAGCGGAGGGAGGGGATAGCTGGCTGCGGGTGGCGGGCACAAGCTGGTCTCAGTGGTCGCCAACCACGAGGGAATGACAGCCAGTCGTGATTGGGGCACGAGCTGGGAGTATCATCGCAAACTGGCTGGTAGCCTGGTATATTGATTCGGCAACATATAGCTGGCGAACAGTGAGCGATATTTGTGTGCGAAATGTATTCAATGTAACACTCTCCGCGCCACTTGCACATATTCGGTTGTTGTGTAATCAATCAAGCTACGAGAGAATCGTTGGGAGCTGTTGTACCGTTGGCGGGTGGTGAGAATTTCTACACGCGGACTTGACTTTTAAACGTTCTGTACGGAACTGTAGTTGGTAATTTGTCTCTGTTTAATCTGGTTACATAATCCCCCACCCCCTTTTGACAAGTGGGAATTTGGGGGGAAAACAAAAAACTGAATCGCAGCAGGTGCAATTCAACTTGTCCACAACCCTGGTTGCACAGTTTCAAGGCTGGTGGCGGTGGTGTCTTCTTGCCACGTCTGATCTGATCCGAACAGAATCGCACAACTGTACGAGCCATGAAATCGATGCATCGGATTTGAGCAACCTGCTGAAAGGCCCCATCATCATTTCCTTGCGGCCTTAGCCGCCAATCAGGTTCGCTCCCATCAACACTGCTGATCATAGATGATTGTGAAATTGCAGAGCCAGACAAGCAAAAAACCGCTCCAAGAACACATTCAACAAAACCTTTAAATTACCGTAACCAGTGTACCCCTAGACTATGGATGAGCAAACCAGCAACCATCATTTTTTTACTGTACTGATATACTCGCATAATCTACACGGGAGCGATGAGAAACCAAGCGAACGTGCATGCGAATAGTTCCCCCACAAGCCACACAAGCGCCAAGCATGGTAATGCATGTATGATACTGTTGTAAGAGGGAAAAAGGGTGTGTGTCTTGACTCAGAAGGTAGAGCGTCGGAAGAGTGCATATGATGACATAGACACGAAGGGTGAAGGACAGGCAAAAGATGATGGGAGTTGCTTATGAAAACATGGATAGCATGTATGAGTAATCGGCACGCCATCTTGTGATGGACGACTCACCCGGGTCACTGTGGAGACGATTGATGTGATCCACCAGGGCCTGGTGGGAGGCAAACTGCCGCCCGTCAATGAACGACTCGGGCGGCGCAAAGCTGGCAATGTCCGGCGCTCCAAAGTACACCGGCACTGTCCCTGGGGATGTGTAGAAACGGGATCAATGGTGAGAATCTGGGATTTAGCAACACGGCACAGCGAGCGAGCTATTGAACTGCCATGTCACCTGCTTCAAGTGCACTGTAGAACTTCTCAGTGACATAGTTGGGGGCGCGGGTGTTCTCAATAGCGAGGTCAAACTTGTAGTGCGACTTCACACAGTGTGCCACCTCCTGCCGCTGATCACCCACGTACCTGCACGCCAGGGGGAAGAGAGAGTGGCGGGGACAGAAGTGAGATGGGGAGAGGGAGGCGCGATGGTGGAAGAGTGAAGCATGAGACACGGGAATTCTTTACAAAAGGCTGAAGGGGTAGAGGAGTGGAAGAGAGTGGCATGGACTCGGAAAGCGATGGCCTCACGCATGCGAGCATGCAGGGTAGAGCACTGCTTCGCGGTTGGTGCCGCCCATGTTGTTGCTGCAGGCGCCAAAGCTGTGGTGGGGCAGGCGCGGCAGCAGCGACTGGAGCAGCAGTGTGCGCCACGGCACCTCGCAGTTGGAGGAGGCGTGGTGCACCAGCACGTCCTGTCATGCGTGCCCGCAGGCAGGGGGAGAGGGGGAGCGGAGGAGAAAAAGGGGAGATTACAAGTCACACGCGGGAGAAGGGGAGATTTCTGGGTCCATGTGCACGGAGGGTTTGAGCAGGCAAATGCATGAACGGGGGAGAAGCACCACACTCCACACCACCCTGCACACACCGCAAGACACCATGCCTGCAACCACTCATGTGCGCACGCCCCCCCACTCACACACTTGGCGCTTCCTGTCGGCCAGCAGGTGCTGCCTGCCCGCCCTGAGGGTGCGCTCCACGTCCACATACGTCACCTGCACTGCGCCCCCCGCCCCGTACCCCACGCCCACGTCCACGCGCCCCTGCGCCTGCGCTCCTGCCAGCGCCCCGTCCGCCTCCATCTGCAGCAGCACACGTAGCGGCGCAGTGGGCGCGCGCGTGAGGGGCATGGCGTCGGGGGAATGCACGAAGAGACGCGCGTGGGGGTTGACGGGCAGCTGGGAGGGGTTCCAGGAGAGCTGGTGGGGGAGGGGCCGAGGGAAGAGGTGTGGAGAGAGGAAGCAAGGGCAGGAGGATGGTCAGAATGAGAAGAGAGGCAGTATGCTGAAACGGGGCATTGCATAAACGAGCATCACTGGACCTGAGCTGACATCCTGAAAAACACAACCCTGTGGGTCATTTTCCAGAATTGTACAAGAATGGCACCTGGCAGGTGATGCTGCATCTGGGGCACACGTGGAAGCCATCCAGCCCAGTGGGCTCCAGCCAATCAGGCTGCTCCACGTGTACCACCACGTGGGAGAGGTTGAGCGACGCACATGCGGGCGAGTTCACGTCCTGAAAGGGCTCAGGCGGAGAGAGGAGGCAGGACGGGCAGGTTGCGTAGCGCGGGAAGGTTGGGAGGGCCGGAGGGAAGAATGGGCAGAAGGGAGTGTGAGGTGGGAGGAAGATGAGGGGGCAGTATGGGGTGGAGAGGGTGGCGCGGGTTGAATGACGCGGCCATACAACGCTGGTGCGAGCAAGGGCACAGGAGGACAATGGGGGGTGGATAGCATCAAGTGGGAGAATGGAGATCTCACAGCAACGTGAAAAGACCATGGCTTGCTGATGAATCAGCGGAGTGCGAGAGGACGGGGAATGATCGGTGCACAAGAGTAACCTGAAGGCTGGGATTGGGGGGGAACGCTGCTGGTCCTCGCTTCGCCTGCGCGCCGTGGCCACGGGCGTCGTCGCGCGCATGCTTGCGCCTGAACTCCGCGCACCCCACGCGCTGCTGCCACAGCCTGACCGCGCGTGCGGGGCGCGGGGGAGTGCCGTGGGGGAAGGGAGGGAAGGGAGGCGGGAGGTTACGCAGGGAAGTACAGCGCGTATAAGAAGCGGCGAAGGTCGGAGCAAGCACACGTGGCATGAGTCACCTACCTCGCCGCCTCGCGCATGTCCATCCATCCATCCACCTCCACAGATACGACTTCCCCTGAAGCCGACGAATTTTGAAGCCCGTGCGGCGACGCCGCGTCACGAATCCGCTGCTTCATTCCCTTCCAGCCTTCCCCCAACCACCTCCACGCCTGCGCGCCTCGCCAGTCGGAGCCATTCCCGCCAGCAACCACACCCCCGCCCCCCGCCGCGACCCACTCCCCGCGCGCGGGGCGGGTGAAGCGGAAGAGAAACGCTGCGCCCCACGCGACGCACGCCAGAGCCAGGCACGATGCGACCCACACGCGGCGGGCCCTGATTGGTGGAGATCTGGCACGCGCATTGGACGGAATCATGGGGGCGCGATTTGTTGACGGACGTGTCGGGGAGAGCAACGCAGCCATGCAGCACTATTCAGTGCGAGAATCGAGAATGAGCATTATGAGAACAGTACCTATTCTCCGCAACGAAACAGAATTTGTCGTGAACTAGTGATGCTCGCTGGGCTGCTTCACATCACACCGCCTCGAGCTTGTTCTTCCAGATCCAGCCAACGGCCAGTTCAAACTCAAATTGGCTCAAAATGTTTGTGTAAATTCACGGTTCAGAACATTACGCTTGTATACAATGCGGTGAGCTGAAGGGAAGGCGTGTGTGTTCCCTCTTGGCCCCTGAAACTTGCATGTGAATGAATCGGTGGCTGCACTTTAGCCACATCAGCAGGGACCGTGGAAGTCTCAAGGGTATTTCAACATCCTCTCCGAAATAAACACGGAATCCGGCAATTATGATGAAGCAATGCGAAACAGTTCTCGCTAGTGCACCGAACGTTTCTCAATAACGAGTCACACCTCATTCTCCTCTCCCTTCGCACCTTCACTCTTATCCACCCAACCACGTCTTGCTGTCAGCGTGTCACTTTCTGCTTCTCTCATCCACACGTGGCGCATTGAGGCCTTACCTGGCCCGTGTTTACCGCTCGCTCACTCTCACCATGGCGGGCCTCCTTCAGGTCGCGACCGTCGGCATGGCGGCCTCCGTCCCCGCCTCCCTTAACTCTCTCAGCAGCAGCGACCTTTCTGGCAGCCGCCTCGCTGCCGTCGCGCCTTCCCGCGCTCGCGTACAATGCAACGTGACTTACGCGCCGCCGTCGACGGCGCGTCTGGATCTGCTGCGCGAGGCGGAGGAGCGGTTTGCGCGCGTGGAGCGGCAGCCGACGGAGGGCGTGGCGTTCACGGCGCTCGAGTTCGAGGAGGCCCTCGAGAAGTACGACTTTAACTTCGACATCGGCGACAAGGTGTGACGCGGCAGTGGCGATCAGTGGCGCGCAGCGATGGCATGCGCAGCGGATGCGAAACAGAGGCCGTATTAGGGTTTATGTTGGAGGAAAACCGAAAAAAATTGCAGCGGAGCGGAATGGCGGGTGGTATGCAGGGTTTAACTGCGAAGCGAGTGATTGGTAGATTCTTCCAGTGCGAATGCCGCAGCGCGTGCGGTCGAACCCTAATGCGGTGCCGCGTCAAGTTTCAACGTCGCAAGCTCGTCCTCCGCCTTTCCGGCTCCCCCTCTCTTTCCCCCTCACCCGCTCGCCCGCTGCCGCAGGTGCGCGGAGTGGTGTTCAAGGCGGACAACGCGGGCGCGCTGATCGACATCGGCGCAAAGGCGCCCGCGCTGCTGCCACTGGCGGAGGCGTGCCTGTTCCGGTTGAAGAACATGAGCGACACGGGGCTCGTGCCGGGCATGGAGGCGGAGTTTGTCGTTATTGATGAGGACGACTCGCAGGGCCGCATGATCGTGAGCCTGAGGAAGCTACAGTACGACCTCGCCTGGGAGCGGTGCCGCCAGCTCGTGGCTGATGACGTCACCGTCAGGGGCACTGTGAGTGGTGCTGACGTCAATCTGAAGGAATTGGGGAGCGGATGAGGAGAGGCGGGAGGGCTGGGAGCGCGTGGGACGGGCTGCTGGTGGCTTTTAGGGTTGCGTCGATCACTGTCTTGGATGGTTCGAGCGCTGATGCCGCGTGACCCCGCATTCACCCGCATTCCCCATGTCTCATGCGTCTCTCTCCCTGGCAGGTCATCGCCGTGAACCGCGGCGGTCTGCTCGTCGAGGTCGAGGGGCTGCGAGGATTTGTGCCGCTTTCGCAGATCGGCCTGGTACGTCCGTGTCGGTATCACGTCACTTTTCTATGCGCGATGGTTTTCTCTCGCACCCCTCCCTCCCGCTCTTCCTTGCCTCTTCCCTCGTGACGCACCCACGCGCCCCTGATCGACACCTGTATCTCTCTCTGCTCTTCCCCCTTCTATCCTCCCCTTCCCGCATTCCACGGGGCTGGCGGGAGCAGCGCGCGGCGAAGGAGGATCTGGTCGGCACGCGCATTCCGCTCAAGTTCCTCGAGGTCGACGAGGAGCGCACGCGCCTCGTGCTCTCCAACCGCCGCGCCGTCGCCGCCTCGCACGCGCAGTCGCTGCAGGTACGCCGCCTTTCCCGGCGGGTACGCCGTCAGTCGCGCGTGCTGCCACGCGGCCCTGCGCATCTCGCCCACACCTTTAAAAATATGTTCGGCGCTCGTGCTCTTCGTTGCACTCCGTTCCCATGCCCCGTGCTTTCTCGCCCGCTATCCTCCCCCGTCCCCATGCTCTCCCGTCCCCGTGCCCACACGCGCTCATGCCTTTCCGCCCCCCACCCTCCACGCACTCGTACTCCCCCATCCCCGTCCCCCCGCACTACCCTCCACCCCCCGCGCAACGACGCGCAGGTGGGCGACGTGGTGGTGGGGCGCGTGCAGTCGCTGAAGCCGTACGGCGCGTTCGTGGAGATCGGCGGCGTGAACGGGCTGCTGCACATCAGCCAGATCAGCCACGACCGCGTCACCAACGTCGAATCCGTGCTCGCCGAGGGCGACCAGCTCAAGGTGCGCGCTCGCCGTTTGTGATTGTAGCGAACGGCTCAAGGTGCGTGCAGGCCCTGTGTGATTGTAGCGAGCAGGTCAAGGTGTGCTCGCAGGCGGTGTGATTGTAGCGAAGTGACAGCAGGGCTGTGAGACTGTAGATGGCGACGTGGAGCATTAAAGATTCGTTGAGGCCATGGCGGTTGTGTTGTGCAGCACATCCTGCCCTCCATGCACCTCGCATGCCTGCCACAGGCACTCTCTGCTCCATCCCTCCCCATCCCCATCTCGCATCCTCCCTCCCCATCTCCCTCCCCATCCTCCTCCCCATCCCCCTCCGTATCCCCCCTGCCCGGCGTGGCGCGCAGGTGATGGTGCTGAGCTTTGACAGCGAGCGCGGGCGGGTGAGTCTGTCCACCAAGAAGCTCGAGCCCACGCCCGGCGACATGCTGCGCAACCCGCAGCTCGTCTTCGATAAGGTAACCTCCTCCCTCCGCCTCCTGCTCCCCTCCACTGCGCCGCTCCCCCCTGCTCGCCGCTCCCCCGTGCGCCTCCTTGAGCATGCCATGCTCTGGTCACAGCGCTGCTCTGTGGTCACAGCGCTGCTCTGTGGTCACAGCGCTGCTCTGCGCTTGTCTATCCCTCCTCCATTTATTCTTGTTCATCCCTCACCACTGCTCTCCTTTCTCTCCCCTCGTCTCCTCCCCTCCTCCTTCCTACGGTTCCTTGGGGCAAACCTCGAACCGCGCCACATCACACCACACCGTACTGGCCCTCACCGCATCACACCGCATTGCACGACATGGATGGGTGGTGGGGTGGCAGGCGGAGGAGATGGCAGCAACGTTCAAGGAGCGGGTGGCGGCAGCAGAGGCAGCTGCGCGGGCAGAGGAGGCGCGCCTGCAGCAGGAGGTGAGGGTGGGGAGGTTAAGATAGGGGGTTGGAGGGCACAAGAGGGGGGCGTGCTAGAAGGGGTGGTGGGAGGTTCAAATCGGGGCGAAGGTGCTGCTGGGAAGAGCCTAAGATATACTGTGGGGTCAGGGTTGCCATGTTGACTGCACGATGCCACCTGGCCCACTGCGCTTGCACGTTTGCATGCACATTCCCCTCGCCACTCACTCTTGCCCCGCCCTCATGCTAATGTCTCTCTGGCCCCTGTCTCTTCCTCTTCCCGCTCCCCACTCTCCTCCTCTCCTCTCTCCTCTCCCCACCTCTCCCCACCTCTCCCCACCTCCCCCTGGCAGGGCTTTGGATTGGACTCCACACTGGGAGCAGGAGCAGGGCTGGACCCCGCCTTCCCCTCGCCCTTCTAAGCGCCACCGCCCCTCCCTCCGCCCCTCGTCTCAGCCACACCATCGCCATCACATCAAGATGTCTATCTAGTCTCCCTCCAATTACTCCCTGCTGCCATGACTCTCCAGTGCTAAGCCTTAGAAGGACTGAGCTAGCTCTTCTCACAGGATAGTCGGTTCAGTGCTGCTTGTTATAATCAAGTATAAATTTCATTCAGTGCTCGCACTGTCGCGTTCAATAGGCATGTCTGCGAGGCAGCCCGGCACTCAGCAATGCAGTGGGAGAGTCGAGGATGCCATCCAATGTGAGATGTAGCTAACGTACCAGCTCACAAGGCTTTTAACCTGACCAGCATGTATGTTCTGACAATTGCCGGGATGGAAGGACATCACACTACGGCACATGCCACGAGCATGATAATTGCTCAAACTCAGTTGACTATGCACACAGGACAGGACAGGACAGGACAGGACAGGACAGGACAGGACAGGACAGGACAGGACAGGACAGGACAGGACAGGACAGGACAGGACAGGACAGGACAGGACAGGACAGGACAGGACAGGACAGGACAGGACAGGACAGGACAGGACAGGACAGGACAGGACAGGACAGGACAGGACAGGACAGGACAGGACAGGACAGGACAGGACAGGACAGGACAGGACAGGACAGGACAGGACAGGACAGGACAGGACAGGACAGGACAGGACAGGACAGGACAGGACAGGACAGGACAGGACAGGACAGGACAGGACAGGACAGGACAGGACAGGACAGGACAGGACAGGACAGGACAGGACAGGACAGGACAGGACAGGACAGGACAGGACAGGACAGGACAGGACAGGACAGGACAGGACAGGACAGGACAGGACAGGACAGGACAGGACAGGACAGGACAGGACAGGACAGGACAGGACAGGACAGGACAGGACAGGACAGGACAGGACAGGACAGGACAGGACAGGACAGGACAGGACAGGACAGGACAGGACAGGACAGGACAGGACAGGACAGGACAGGACAGGACAGGACAGGACAGGACAGGACAGGACAGGACAGGACAGGACAGGACAGGACAGGACAGGACAGGACAGGACAGGACAGGACAGGACAGGACAGGACAGGACAGGACAGGACAGGACAGGACAGGACAGGACAGGACAGGACAGGACAGGACAGGACAGGACAGGACAGGACAGGACAGGACAGGACAGGACAGGACAGGACAGGACAGGACAGGACAGGACAGGACAGGACAGGACAGGACAGGACAGGACAGGACAGGACAGGACAGGACAGGACACATGATGACATGATGTACATGAGATCACATGAAAACGCAGCATTTGACATGTTAGGGCCTGTCTATGCAACATTGCAGGGCCAGCGTCAGGCCAGGGCCTCGGTGGAAACAGTGATGGCAATCTCCTCAACTCATGCATGCATGCACCGCGTCAGATCACCACCTCCCACATTGACCCACCATCGTCCTTCCCCTCCTGCCCGCCCTCTGCTCCCCCACCCCCTCCTGCTGCATGTGATGCCCCTGCCGCCCCTGCGTCTGCACCTGGTGCCGCTCTCTCTGTTAGTGATTTCGTTTCTGCAGCCGTAGCATCTGCCGCCCCTGCTGCCCCTGCTGCGGCTTTGGACGCGCCACCTGCTGCTGCACCACCCGGAGCTGACGATGCTGCAGCAGGTTGCGATGCTGCTGCATGCGCTGCTGGCCGCGCGCCAGCCAGATCGCCTGTGCCCGCACCTGCTGCTGCCGCCGCTGGTGCTGCTGAAGCTTCAGCAGCAGGGGCTGGGCCGGCAGGAAGAGTGATGGACGCGTCGCGTTTCAGCTTCGGCACTCTGGGCGCCGCGTCTTCCGGCCATGGCAGGGGCGCCGCGACGCCAGGCGCGAACACGACGCCGCGCAGAATGGTGTTGGTGTTGCCAACGCGGATGGTTACAAAGTAACCCGCGTCGAACGTGCCGTCCAGCACACCCTGCACGTTCTGCCCCACCCAACCGGGCTGCACCGCCGCGCCGTCGTCCCCGCCCGCCTGATTGAGCCGCCGCGCCTTCAGCTGCGACTTGGTCATCCTCGCGCGCGTCGCCGTCGCCGTGGGTACGAGCGCCGACGCGTTCTGCGCGGCGAGAATGGCGTCGATGTTGGAGGGGTCCGTGACGGGCATGCCGCTGTGCGCCGCCATGATCAGCGCCTGCCGCGCCAGCACGTCCGACTTGCTCGGCCTACCTCGCTTCCGCTTGAACGCCGCCGCAATCGCCCTGTCCGCCGCCATCTGCGCCTTCGTCCTTCTCTTCCGCCGCTGACGCGGTAGCTCGTCGGCATGCGCGGCATTATAGGCCGACATCGACGGCGCCATTCGGGAGTACATTGCGCTGAACCTGCGTCACACGAGTCGTTGAGTTAGGCGGGTATGCTGATGCCTTCTCTACTACCAACATTCGTAAAAGCGAAACAATTAGCCGCAAGCTATACTAGACTTAGCCTGTGAAGGCGAAGACAATGTTATATTTTGTCGGGAACGCACCTATCGGGTGCGTCAACACTACGGTATGATTGGTCACCGTGTGCTGAATTTCCATTGCCCGTTTCCCTTGTGCCCACAAATATATTTCCTTGAAGTCTGTTATTCCTCGAGAGGGGGGTCGACATATAATTCATTTCATGTGTTTCTCTGCCTTGGCTTTCGTCAGTTTGCCCAATTTTTTGTGGTCCCGACTTTTAGTACGGGGTTTTGGTCGTTTCTGTGTGTTCACCCTATTTCGCCTATCTCCCTTGCCTGATTTCAATCCTAAAGCGGGGATTGGTACATGTGTATACTTACGCCTGTAGGATGTTTGGCCTTTGGCTACATTCCCTCATACTCTATGGTTTAGTTTTGTGGAATGGTTAAGACCATAATATAACCTTACCTTACAAGATGCATGCTACAAACAACAGATATTTATTAAGTCTGACTTACGATTCTAGGAAAAGCGCACCAGTTGTGGATTCAGTTCTAACGGTGGAGATCGCCAGCATGTTGTGATAACAGGTTTAGGATAGCATTCTCGCGGAATGGTGGTGGACCCTAAATCGATCAACGTACTTGCTGTGTGTTCTAAACACGAGTTTGTCGCGCGTGAAGGTGTTGAGCAAGAACAGGAAATAGGCTTCATGCTGTGCGAGTATGGTTCCTGTGTTGTCTCCCCATCTGACTCCAGAGCTGCACAAATAAAAACTGTTGTAAGAACATTGAAGGGCCCCTGACATAAGGACATACCCTGTCCTCCAAACCGCACCTGTGGGGAATGCTGACTGTATGGAGGCTGCTTGCCACGGCAATATGTCATCCCAATCATCCACAGGTAGTAATGGCAGTGGCATGGCAAACGGAGAGCCTAAGCTTGGCTTGGATTCAGAAAACGAACTTGAACGGGAACACGTCTCGGACAGTGCTTGACCCTGGCCGGAGGACACAACGGAGTGTTAGGAAGTTAAAAACAAAATAAGAAACAACGAACAGCCTTACTCGAGATGCAATCAGCATACGTCAAAACAGCGACACTCACGAGTTGAATCGCCGAGGCCTCCAGCGCGATCAAACTCTCCTGCAATTTCCGAAAACGGCTTGTTTGAGAAATAGTCTTCCTGTGAGCTTCCGTAACTTCGCACATGTCCGTCTTCACCTGACAAACCAGAGCATACCGTTCAGCACACGAACTGTAACATTCGAAGCGGAAATTTGTAATAGCTCGTAATCTCCACACCTGCTCAACAACGGAGCCGAGACGCGCAAGGCTTCTCCCAACATCTTCCTCATTTTGGCGCCTCTCATACTCAAAGAGGTCTTCGACCAAAAGGCTCTGTATGGCAAATAGCGACCACGTCAGACTAAGTTGAATAGCGTAGAGTTCATCTTCGCTGTAAAGTGCACCAACCTGAATCCGGGATGCACGGTTGAGAAGGTCGAACGACGTTTCTGTTGATATTCCGACAAGACTCTCGCAGATGTCAGTCGCGAGCTCGCAGCACTCAATGACATCACGAAACAAGCGTCGTGGACCTGATGGACTCTTGGCTGCGAGAATGGAGGTTCTTATTAGCCAGTAATCCTTATCTGAGCGAGGACTGCAAGGTAAGCCGTCTGGCCATGACGTGTGAGAACAGTCTAAAGTTGATGCTGAAGCAATATGTTCCGTCATTGCTCGAAGACCGCTATAGAAATGACTAACGGATAAAAACGCTGGACACGATGTAAATGTCGATCAAATTACGCCATTCTGGTTCTTTCAATCAGCAGCAGAAATGATCAGATCAGAGCAGTGTGCTGCAGTATGACAGAGCAGAACTTGAGGGGAACGAGAGCGCCAAACCAAGCCACAGCAGTGGAAGTGAATCCACACAAAATCATCAGTGCGGTGGTGGTTCGACCACAGCTGCGCAACCAACCACATCAGACGGACCAGCGCAAATTACCGACCAGCCTGCGACGCGACGCCACGCCACGCCACGCGTCAAAAACGTTTAGATCAGGATCCAACCAGAGGCCAGAATTGTAACGAAATGCGGAGGACGGAATTGTTTGACAACCAATCAGCTTCTCCCACCTTGAAGATGCCGAATGGCAGCTGGGAATCGCTTCTGGCAGGCGTGAAACCAGGGCCAGCAATTTTGCTGGGTAGGTGTCTTGACCATCGCTGGAGGGCTTCGCGATCTCACTAAGAGAAACGTTTTATCGTAATGAGTACAAGCCTGAAGAGAACATGTAACAATGTGATCATGATTTTGCAACTTCCAAGATAATGGGACATAACTCATTTTGGCAACTTCACACTCCATGCTTAACCTACTCAGGCGGGTGTTACTCAATGTGCCATATACTTTATCACTACGCTGACTATTGCATATCTAGTCACAATTATACAATGCGTTGATAGTATCCATAGTCAATGGACAAATATAGGCTTCCGTAACCCCCCGCTTCTGCTCTCGCCCCCACAACAAATGAAGGCTCTTCAGCTTTGGGCAAATACCACGAAGTTGAGCAAACGCCTCATGGGAAGGGAGACCTTCGACCTCCAGGCGCAGGCGCTGCAGGCTCCTCAGAGGCAGCTCCCACTCTCCTGGTGCTGGCATGGCGACAGGGCCAAGCGCCAGTGCGTAAAGGTGGTGCAGTGCCTGAGAAAGGACCGCGCATGGGAACCAAGAGTGAGAGGTAGGGCGCATGGCATGGCATAAGATGGTGCTCAGATACACACGCTGCTTCGGTGACCTTTGATGTTGGATTCAGGCATGGCAGGCACAAGGTGATGTGGTGGGAGTGGTGTTGGTACCTGGAGTGGTAGGGCGTGGGTGAGGTGCATGGGCTCGCTGTGCAGTCCCTGCAGGTCGAGTGCCTGAGGGGATGGGCATGGTGGGCGACGGGTGGCGGGAGAGAGGGGAATGGCAGGAGGTGAAGGTAAGGGAATGGGGGAAGGGAGTGGAAGGTGAGAGCATGGTGGACAGTGCATGCTGACAGTGTGATAGCGCATGGTGACAGCAAGGCAGTACATGCACGTGGTGCTCCATGGTGCTCCGTGGCAGCACAAAGGACGCGAGAAACAAAGGCCACAGCAGCAGCAGCAGCAGCAGCAGCAGCAGCAGCAGCAGCAGCAGCAGCAGCAGCAGCAGCAGCAGCAGCAGCAGCAGCAGCAGCAGCAGCAGCAGCAGCAGCAGCAGCAGCAGCAGCAGCAGCAGCAGCAGCAGCAGCAGCAGCAGAAGCAGCAGCAGCAGCAGCAGCAGCAGAAGCAGCAGCCAAGCGCCCACCATGAGGCGAGGAAAGGCGGAGGCGAGGGTGAGGAAGGAGGCGGGCGTGAGGGCACAGGGGCTGAGCGACAGCGCTGTGAGCGGTGGCGGCCCTGCCAACGCCAGTGCTGTCATGGCCTGGTCAGGGGCGGGGGTGAGGGGATGGGCGCAGGGGAATGAGGGAAAGGGAGTGCATAGGCTGAGGTTGGGCAGAAGCATGCAGGGGCGAAAGCCCCCTGAAGGGGTGAAAATCTTCTGGACAGATACTTGCACTTGCAGAGGGTCAGAGCCAAGCCCCTTGAGAAGCACATCACCTTAGGGTGCATTGCGCAGATCTGACCTGGTGGGTGAAGCATGAGTGCGTGCTCCACAGCGTGTCCGCCTTCACCGACTGCCCAAAGAAACTGCGGTGGGATGGGTAAGCCGCGAGGGAGAAAATCCGGTGAAGCACGGATGGCGAAACACGACACAAATGCGACATGCCAGAAGTGCAAGGGATTGACGTAGTGAAGATGAGCGGATGTGAATGAGGCACGGAGTGGTGTAAAACGGTGCATATGTATGTGCTTGTGTGTGAGAGATGTGTGGACTGACGGCATGTGCAGGTCGATGACAAGCATCTGCAGGCATGGCAGCGCGCCCACACATGCCATCATGGCCGGCAGGTCGCATGCGAACACCACGTGCTGCCATGGAGGGAAGAGCGGAGAGGGGAGGGCAGGGGAGAGTAGAAGGTGCGAGATGGAGGTGGGACGGACACGATGGTTCACATACACGCGACAGCTGCATGCATGACACATTACGGCCTGCCATGCATTCCCCGTGCCCCTCTCCCTACCCCTTAGTGTGCACACCCCCCCATGAATGTGCAACACCCCCCCCTTTTTTTTCGTTGCTTCCTCCCTACCTGCAGTGTAAGAGTGAGCGCCTTGATGGCAGGGCACAGCGCGCCAATGCCCGCCAGCCCACGCGCGGACAGGGGCAGGCACCCGCACGGGTAGGGCGGAGGGGGAGGGTGGACGGCGGGGGAATGGGGGGAGGGAGGCGGCAGAGAGGCGCCAGGGAGGGGGGAGGAAGCGGGGGGTACGGGAGAGGAGGAGAGACAAGCAGCGGAAGGAGGAGAGTCGCGTAGAGGGGACGAGGCGGTGGGGGAAGGCGAGCAGGCACGCTGGGGGGACCCATACGAGTGGGACGGGGAGGGGGACGGGGAGGTGGAGAAGGGGATGTGGTAGGGGGAGGTGGGGGAGAGGAGGCTGTGGAAAGGGGGCGGGGAGCCGTTGAAGGTTGCGCCCATGCACACGTGCTGCACACGCAGCGCCTGCAGGCGCGGACACGCACGCAGAACCCGCCTGTGAGGGGCGAATTGGGGGAAGAGACAGGAGCGCGGATGAGAAACGGGGAGAAGTGAAAAGTGAAAAAGAAGAAACGCGGTTGTCACTTCCCATTCTCCCTTTCCCCTCCTACCCTCACCGCCCGCCACTCACTGCAGTGTTTCATCCGTGATTCGCGGGGAGCGCAGGTCCACGTCACCCAGAAACCTGAAAAGTACAAGGAACGGAATCGTGATTCGCTGATTTTCCTCGCCCCACAGCCTTCATCGCAACCCTTGCCATTTGAAAGTTTTGAACAAAACGCTACCTTCACACCGCACCCCGCCGTTTACCCCACCTGCCGTGATTGACGGCGCGCGTGACCTCCTCCTCGAACGCCATCAGCTCGCCCTCCCTCGCCGCCACCGGCGACGGCGTGCGCGGCGACGGCCACGCCCCTCCTCCTCCGCCGTGCGCGCAACCCTCCCGCCACTCCACGCCGTCCATCCGCCTGCCGGTGACCGTAGCTTCCGGCGTCGCGGGCGTCGTGCCGCCGAGCGGCTCGCAACTGGCGCGGCTTGAGAGGGAGCTTTCTCTGGGATCACCCGCGTCGTTGGCGGGAATTGTGTTCCCCGTTCGGCGGAGGCTTTGCGGCGTGCGCAAGTGGAGGAAAGGGGAGAAGGCGGCGGGATTGAGCCAGAGCTCTGGGGGAGGCGGTTTAGGCGGCATAGGCGCGCGGGAGTGCGCGAGCACGCGGCTGTGAGCGGAGGGCGCGGTGGGGCGGTCGTCATCGATCGCGCACGCGCGCAACTGCGAGGGGGAGAGCGCGGATGTGCGCCATGCCCTGCGGAGAGAACATGAACGCACGGACACTGATCAACCGGAACAGCGCGAGGGCAAACGGTCCAGGGAGATGAGAGAGCAGAGAGAAGGCGGAAGGCGGCATAATATACCACAGATGAAGGAGAAAGGGAGTTAAAGCTTCCGCTTCTGACTCGGAGCGCACCTATTAACCCTGGCGGCGGTGGCGAGGTCGTCGAGGGACGGCAGCATCTGCAGCACCGACGACAGCACCTCCACTGGCACCCCCGTCCCATCCGCGCCCATCCACGAAGTGGTGCTCCTTGGCACCTCCACTGGCACCCCCGTCCCCGCGCCGCTCCCTCGCACCGCATCGCCTCGCCCTGTGTCACCTCCCGTCGCGTTCTCGTTCTGAACGGTGCGAATAAGCGCACTGCTGCTCACGGTGAGAGAAGTGAATGACTTCGAGAGGTCCGACGCCTCCGCGATCATGGCGGCTCGTGACTGTGTAAAGAAACGCCCTCTGTCGTGAGCTGCACGTATTGTAACGGAAAACAGGCCAGGAGGCAGTTGGAAACCGGTGGTTGAATTTAGAGAGCTAATGCAAGTGAAGGAGAAAATTATGTTCTTTTCCCGCAATTCGACGTTGGGTCAACTGGTTGTGGTGGTACAACTTCGGGTGGAGCTGAGCAGGAAAGAGACTTCAACAATCCCTCGGAAACCATTCTCAACCAAAACATTCGCTTCGAAACCACGATCGCCCCCCCGTGAAAGTGGAAAGTGCAAACGCGACACGAATGTGGAACACCTGCTTCAGTCATTGGTTGATGGGAGATCTGCTGGATGATTCAATTTCACTGACACCTGACACTTTGTTTTCCCGCGCGTTTCTAAATGAAGTGCTGGTCTTTTATCGGGTATGAAAACCCTTTTCAGCAAAAAAAAACTCGATATGCGACAGGATGTGGTGTGAGGACACAAGTTCGGCATTGCGCTGCGAGAACGGTAGCCAGCTTCGTCATTGTCGTACTTCAGTTGAGTTCGCTAGCCCATCCCACGCAAGGCATGTGTTCCGAAGTCCGCTAGTGAACTCGCGCACCGAATTCGGTGCAACGATCTTCCACCACACTTATCCACAGCTTGCTTCGCACCACCACCCCTTAGCCAGCATAATTCTTTACCTTTGCTAGGCACTAGGATCCCTCGGGAAACGCGGTCATGCCTCCGCGTCGACGCCATGGGCCGTGCAAGGGCGACTAGCTCGCCAGTCCCCACAGCTGTCCTTCCATGTCTAGCGGCGGTCGTCATCGCTCTCCTGCCACGTGGCGTCCAGCCCGTGACTCTCGCCGACTCCCAAGGTGTGCCGTTCTCACAGCGCATTCTCCGTGTCTCTAGCGTCTTCTTTCGTCCTTCGCATTAGTCGCACTCTTCTCTCGCCTTTAGTATGCGTTCTTACACGAGCCGGCGTCACTAGCGCCTAACACGCCACGCCATGGAGTTGTCCAGTACCACTAGCGCCTTAGACTAGTAGTCTTTTTCTCCAGCGCAGCGCCGACTCGAGACGGAGTCCTACTGTTCACCTCGCCTTGCTCTCTCGAAAACTGTGCTCGAATCCCGTTCTCCTGCTGCCCACTGCGTCTTTCCGCCCTTATACGATACCGCACATTCGGCGCCCAGCGGCGGCGCTGAAGGAATGCGCGGCGGAGTGGGGGATGCGCGCGACGGGGTGGGCGCAAGGTGCGGAGTGCACGCAGGCGAAGGGGGTCACGTGCGACAAGGACGGCATGGTCACAGAGCTGTCAGTGCCCCGGGGAATGGTAGCGCGCATGGGGAAGCGTGGGGGGAGTGCGGGGGCGATGAGGGGAGCAGCGGGGCATAGCAGATGCGCAGGGTCGAGGGTGTGGAGTGCGAGACCGAGCGTTACGCGCCCCCAGTGCCGCCGCCCAGTGCCGCCGCCCTGTACTGCTGTTGCTGCTGCTGGCACTCCGCATGAATGCCCTGTGTCCCCATGGACCATACCACTCTGCTCGCTGTCTGCCGCACCTCCACAGCCTTCCCACCATCCCTGCCCTCTCCCCATGCCCTCGCGCCTCTCCGCAACACCCCCCGCCCGCCTCTGATGCACTCTGGGCAGGCTCCTGAACCACGAGAACCTCACGGGCTCCTTCCCCCTCGACACTGGCTTCTCTTTGTTTAGGCGACTGCTGAGGCGCCTGAACACTGGCCTCTCACCCCCGCCCTCTGTGCGCCACGCAGGATCCTCCTTGGTGGGGGCCTCACGGGCTCCATCCCCCTCGCCCTCACTGCGCTCTCCCGCCTGCACGCGCTGTGAGTCACATGTGATGAGTCGCCTCGCCCTGCCATGAGTCACATGTGATGAGTCGCCTCGCCCTGCCATGAGTCACATGTGATGAGTCGCCTCGCCCTGCCATGAGTCACATGTGATGAGTCGCCTCGCCCTGCCCCAGCTGCCCTCGCTCTCGCTCTCTCCCCACGTCAACGTCACCCATGATGACGTCACGTGGCAGGCATGTGCGCGTGGCAGGCATGTGCGCGTGGCAGGCATGTGCGCGTGGCAGGCATGTGCGCGTGGCAGGCATGTGCGCGTGGCAGGCATGTGCGCGTGGCAGGCATGTGCGCGTGGCAGGCATGTGCACGTGGCAGGCATGTGGTGCTTGTGTCACGACGAGCGCTGCTTGCTCGCAGCACCAATTGTACCTTTGGACCCTCCGTCACTGTCACCGTGCACGCGCTCTTGTGTTTATGTGCATGTGTGCGTGCATCTATGCATTGTGCATGTGTGCGTGCGTGCATGCATCCACGTGTGCATGCATGCAGGAGTGTGACCGACAACAACCTCACAGGCGCTGTCTTCACCATCATAGCGCGCATGCCATCGCTCATCCACCTGTAACCACCCACCTCACTCTCAATTCTCCCTTAACTCGCTGCGCTGCTCTGCTAGTGACGGGGCGCCTCCAGCCCATGAAGTTCCTGCTTTGCCCTGCCTGCCCCGCACGGTGCTTCTCGTCCTTATCTTCCCTTTTCTTCCTTTCCCCCCTTCCCATCTCGTCTCCACCGTGCTGCCTCCACCCTCCTCGCTCGTCCCTTTCTCCCATCTATCCTGACCAATCCCCTCCACCGCACTTCATTTCGTCCCTGCCCTACACTGCCTGCTTCTCCTCACGTCTCCTCTCACCTTTCTCCCCCCACCACCCCCTATTCCCCACCCTCCCCCCCCCCACTCCCGCCAGCGAGATCGGGAGCAACCGCTTCACAGGGCCCATTCCGCTCACCGCCTCGCGCCTGCACCGACTCTCATATATGTAACCCTCTCACCTTCGCCTCTCACCTTCGCCTCTCACCTTCGCCTCTCACCTTCGCCTCTCACCTTCGCCTCTCACCTTCGCCTCTCACCTTCGCCTCTCACCTTCGCCTCTCACCTTCGCCTCTCACCTTCGCCTCTCACCTTCGCCTCTCACCTTCGCCTCTCACATTCGCCTCTCACCTTCGCCTCTCACCTTCGCCTCTCACCTTCGCCTCTCACCTTCGCCTCTCACCTTCGCCTCTCACCTTCGCCTCTCACTCCCTCTCCACAGCATCTCCCCTCGTCCCCTCACTCGCCCTCCCGTCCTCCCTTGTCATTTTTCTGTCATTCATCATAACCACAACCTTCCCCCTCCCTGCTCTCATCCCCCTACCTGCTCTCATCCCCCTACCTGCTCTCATCCCCCTGCCTGCTCTCATCCCCCTGCCTGCTCTCATCCCCCTACCTGCTCTCATCACCCTACCTGCTCTCATCCCCCTGCCTGCTCTCATCCCCCTGCCTGCTCTCATCCCCCTGCCTGCTCTCATCCCCCTGCCTGCTCTCATCCCCCTGCCTGCTCTCATCCCCCTACCTGCTCTCATCCCCCTACCTGCTCTCATCCCCCTACCTGCTCTCATCCCCCTGCCTGCGCTCATCCCCCTGCCTGCGCTCATCCCCCTACCTGCTCTCATCCCCCTGCCTGCTCTCATCCCCCTGCCTGCTCTCATCCCCCTGCCTGCTCTCATCCCCCTGCCTGCTCTCATCCCCCTGCCTGCTCTCATCCCCCTACCTGCTCTCATCCCCCTACCTGCTCTCATCCCCCTACCTGCTCTCATCCCCCTGCCTGCTCCCATCCCCCTGCCTGCTCTCATCCCCCTGCCTGCTCTCATCCCCCTGCCTGCTCTGATCCCCCTGCCTGCTCTCATCCCCCTGCCTGCTCTCATCCCCCTACCTGCTCTCATCCCCCTGCCTGCTCTCATCCCCCTGCCTGCGCTCATCCCCCTGCCTGCGCTCATCCCCCTGCCTGCTCTCATCCCCCTGCCTGCTCTCATCCCCCTGCCTGCTCTCATCCCCCTGCCTGCTCTCATCCCCCTGCCTGCTCGCATCCCCCTGCCTGCTCTCATCCCCCTACCTGCTCTCATCCCCCTACCTGCTCTCATCCCCCTACCTGCTCTCATCCCCCTGCCTGCTCTCATCCCCCTGCCTGCTCTCATCCCCCTGCCTGCTCTCATCCCCCTACCTGCTCTCATCCCCCTACCTGCTCTCATCCCCCTGCCTGCTCTCATCCCCCTGCCTGCTCTCATCCCCCTGCCTGCTCTCATCCCCCTGCCTGCTCTCATCCCCCTACCTGCTCTCATCCCCCTACTTGCTCTCATCCCCCTGCCTGCTCTCATCCCCCTACCTGCTCTCATCCCCCTACTTGCTCTCATCCCCCTGCCTGCTCTCATCCCCCTGCCTGCTCTCATCCCCCTGCCTGCTCTCATCCCCCTGCCTGCTCTCATCCCCCTGCCTGCTCTCATCCCCCTGCCTGCTCGCATCCCCCTGCCTGCTCTCATCCCCCTGCCTGCTCTCATCCCCCTACCTGCTCTCATCCCCCTACCTGCTCTCATCCCCCTGCCTGCTCTCATCCCCCTGCCTGCTCTCATCCCCCTGCCTGCTCTCATCCCCCTGCCTGCTCTCATCCCCCTGCCTGCTCTCATCCCCCTACCTGCTCTCATCCCCCTACCTGCTCTCATCCCCCTACCTGCTCTCATCCCCCTGCCTGCTCTCATCCCCCTGCCTGCTCTCATCCCCCTACCTGCTCTCATCCCCCTACCTGCTCTCATCCCCCTACCTGCTCTCATCCCCCTGCCTGCTCTCATCCCCCTGCCTGCTCTCATCCCCCTGCCTGCTCTCATCCCCCTGCCTGCTCTCATCCCCCTGCCTGCTCTCATCCCCCTGCCTGCTCTCATCCCCCTGCCTGCTCTCATCCCCCTGCCTGCTCTCATCCCCCTGCCTGCTCTCATCCCCCTGCCTGCGCTCATCCTCACAGAGAAATGGACTTCAATGAATTTCTCGGGCCTCTGCCGCCAGCCTTCTTCCATCTCACCGCCCTCGCCCACCTGTACGCCTCTCCTCACCCCACCCTTTCCTCTCCATCCCACCCGTCCCATCCCATCTCATCCCATCCCACCCATCCCATCCCATCCCATCCCATCCCATCCTATCCCATCCCATCCCATCCCATCCCATCCCATCCCACCCATCCCATCCCATCCCATCCCATCCCATCCCATCCCATCCCATCCCATCCCATCCCACCCATCCCGTCCCATCCCATCCCATCCCATCTCATGCCATCCCATCCCATCCCACCCCATCCCACCCCATCTCACCCCCACCCACACCAAGCCACACCATGCACCCCCACGCCTCTCCCCCCTCCACCGCCCACCCCACAGGAGCATGGCAGGGAGCGGCTTCTCAGGCGCGCTGCTGGAGCACATCAGCGCGCTCTCGTCCCTTCACTTCCTGTACTGTACTGCTTCCAACGAACGCCTCTCTTCTCTGCACTGCCTCTACCACACGCCCTCTCACTGCACTAGCGCTTTCAACGTGCCCCCTCCACATGGCTTGCATTTTCGCTTGCTTGCCATGCCATCACCGCACTCCCTGTCCCTGCCCCTCACCCTGCCCCTCTCCCTGCCCATATCCATGCCCTTCTCGTCCTCTCATCGCATGTCTCCCTTTTCTACACACGCGCTTGAACCATTGCGTGCATGTGTCCCTTGCGTGTGGGTGGCACGGGCACCATCAGCTATGCGGCCAACAACGCCATCTCAGGAAGCATCCCCGCCACCATCAGCGCTCTCTCCCGCCTCGAGTACCTGTCTGTCGCACACAAATTCCCGCCTCTTTTGTGTGTGTGTGTGTGTGTGTGTGTGTGTGTGTGTGTGTGTGTGTGTGTGTGAGTGTTTGTGTGTTTAATTGATTCTTGTTTTTATCGTGTGAGTTGCAAGCACCTCTTGTGCATCTCGCCCCTCCCACTCTTGCTTGACTGCGTCCCCCTGCTGCTCTGCTGCTCTTGGCCTTGCGGCTGTGGTGCTACAGGGAAAGGCAGAATGTCAACCACTTCAAGTAGATACATATGCATAATGCACCCCTGCTTCTCCCCCGCTCCACCCACATGCACATGCACATGCACATGCACATGCACATGCACATGCTCATGCTCATGCACATGCACATGCTCATGCTCATGCACATGCTCATGCACATGCACATGCACATGCACATGCTCGTGCACATGCACATGCTCATGCTCATGCACATGCTCATGCACATGCACATGCTCATGCACATGCACATGCTCATGCACATGCACATGCTCGTGCACATGCACATGCACATGCACATGCACATGCACATGCACATGCACATGCACATGCACATGCACATGCACATGCACATGCACATGCTCATGCTCACGCACATGCATGGCAGGGCGTTGAGTCAGAACCCAGACCTCTCAGGCTCCCTGCCCCGCGCCCTCTCTCGCCTCACCACCCTCCAAGTGCTGTCAGCCCACCCCCCGCTCCTCCTTCCCCCCCCACTCCTCCTTCCGCCCTGCCCCTCCTCTACCCCTCTGCCACTCCTGTACACTGCACTCCCCTCCTCCTCCCCTTGCTCCCCCCCCTTTCCCGCACTTGACTCTTAACCTCCATGCACCGCCTGGCACCGCTCTGCCTTGCAGCCTCCTGTATCATGTGTTCTCTGCCCTCGTATGCACCCTGTCTCGCATCCGCTTCCGCACCCCACCTTCTCTGCTTCCAACCATCTGCTTCAGCATCACTCTCCTCCGCCTCTCTTGCTCGCCTCCATTCTTCTCTCCCCCTCTCCTCCCTTTCTCCTCCTCTTCCCCCCTCCATCCTTTCACATGTACAGATTTCTTTGCCTCGCCCCCTCGCCTCCCTCTCCTCGTCCCCACAAGCTCACGCCCAATCCCGTGCCGCTGCCTACGCTGCTACCATGCCTTCTGACTCGCTGCTGTGCTTGACATCCCTCACGTCCCTCCTCGCCCGCATGAATCATCTCCCGTCTCTCCTCGTTATCTCCCTCACCTTCCGTTATCTCCCCTTCCCCGCGTCTCTTACCCCCCCCTCCCCCCAGCTCACTGGGCGACACGGCCATTTCAGGCGAGCTGCCTCGCTTCCTCACCGCCCTCACGCGTCTCACCACCTTGTGCGCCCCTCCCCACCCTCTCCGTCCCTCCCTGCACCTCTCTCCGCCCGTCTGCACCCTAAGGTCATGTCTACATCTCCAAGAGGCTCTGTCTCTAGTTCATGCCATGTTGACCTTCTGCCGTCCAACCATTCTTCCCATTTTAACATTGCCTTTCATTCACCTCCCCCTTCCTTCTCTTACCCCCCTCCTCTTTTTTCCCCCTTTCCCTCTCTTCCACCCCTCCTCTCTCTTCCCCTTAGTTCCCTCCTCTGTCCGTGCTTTCTCCGTTTCCCAACCCTCATCCCACTCAGTGACGTTGTCAACACGAAGCTTCACGGAACCATTCCTGCCGCTTACGGCGCCATCAAGTTGAGCAGCTTGTGTGATTTCCTCCTCCTCCTCCGTTGGTCCCCATGCAAAGCCTCTCTTCCTCCTTCACCCCATTGCAACTGTCTCGTTCCGTCCCACTATTGCTATATCCGTTTGAGAAGTTGTAAAGGTATGATCATTTAAGCTTCATATCCCTCTCGTCAACAACACTCAATTACTTCAGAGAGAGGCACACAACAAGGGCCATAGATGAGTATCACATTGAAACATGTATTCCCAGTCCCAGAGTGCATCATGCACCTCTCATCGTTTTCCGCATGCACCCCTGTGTATCCTCCACCTGCCTCGGCTCTCCCTCAGTCAGTTTTCCGGGCTAACTTGCCCAGAGGATGGAAGCAGCTGTGAAATCAATCAGAACCGTTCATCCATGTTTTGCAAGTTCTGTTCAGCGTTCTGCTTCACGTGCATCCCAATCAACGGTCAGGATCGTCTACAAACCCTAAACGCTACAACCCCACCCCTTGACTCGAGAACCGAAACTTTTTGCACCTGGCGTTGCTGCTGTGTTCACACCACACCAACCATGCAATTACCCCTGCTATGCTCTTCCATGCCTCTCACACTCTCGCTCCTCAACTTTGCACTTCCAACATCCCCATTTCCCCCAACCTTCCATTTTATTCGTGATTCCCATCACATCCCATCCGCCCACCCATCCAAACCCCAACCCCTCTCCCCCCACCAGCACCAATCCGCAGACCGCCTCCCCGTCCTCCCCCCCTTCCTCCGCCATCCCCCTCCCCCCCGCCTCCTCCCCCCACCATCACCGTCCTCGTCGCCCCCACTTCCCCCCCTCCCCCTCCGCCCTCCTCCCTCCCACTATCCGCGATTGCGGGGGCAGCAGCGGGTGCAGTGGTGGTGTTGCTGCTGCTGGTGGTGGCAGCAGGGTGGCGGCATGGAGGTGGAGGAAGAAGAGGGAGCGGATGGGGAAGGATTGGAGTAAGTGGGGTGGAGAGGGGAGAGGAGAGAGGGGGAAAAGGGAGGTTCTGAGGGCATATGGCATGAAGACATGATTGCATGAAGACATGATTGCATGAATGAGTGATGGTGTGGTGGTTGAGGTCTTTATGGGCTTTCGACGCCATGTTGGCGTTTGGTGCTTTCGACGCCATGTTGGCGTTTGGTGCTTTCGACGCCACGTTGGCGTTTGGTGCATGCTTGAGATGTTGGGTGTGTGAGTGAGTGTGTGTGTGTGTGGAGTGTGTGTGTGTGTGTGTGGAGTGTGTGTGTGCATGTGTGCGTGGGTGTGAGTGGGTATGTGTGTGTGTGTGGATGGGTGTGTGGGTGTGCGTGGAGGGGGGTGGGTGGGTGTATGGGTGGGTGTGTGTGTGCGTGTGTGCGTGTGTGGTGTGTGTGTGTGTGTGTGCGTGTGTGTGTGTGCGTGTGTGTGCGTGTGTGTGTGTGTGTGTGTGTGCGTGTGTGCGTGTGTGTGTGTGTGTGGTGTTCTGCTCACTTCCTCATTCTCCTACCCCTCTCTTCCTCACCAAAACTTACCTGTTCCCCCTTTTCTCACTCATTCCCCCTCTCCTTGCCCCCTTCCCGCCCTTTTCCTTTCCCCGCCCTTCCCCTTTCCCCCTTCCCCCTTCCCTCTTCCGCCTCCCCCCTTCTGCCTTCAACCTTCCAGCCACGCCTATCCTAAGGAGAGTCCCCCCCTGCCCGCACGTCCCCCTGGCGGACATTCTCAGAGCCACCAATGGGTGGGCGGAGGGGCGGAGGGTGGGGGGAGGCAGGTGGAGTGACGTGTACCGGGGGGAATGGGTGGAGGGGGGGGATGGGGGGTCACATGCAGGGAAGGATGTGGAGGGAACAGGAGCGAAGAAGCAGGAAGGAGGGGATGTGTCGGGGGGATCGAAGGTGAAGGGGGAGGGGAGCGACAAAGCTGAAGGGTCACAGGGAAAGCAGAAGGGGAGCGACAAGGAGGAAGGGTCTCAGGGAGAGCAGAAGGGGAGTGACAAGGGGGAAGGGTCGCAGGGCAAGCAGAAGGGGAGCGACAAGGGGGAAGGGTCGCGGGGAAAGCAGAAGGGGAGTGACCAGGGGGAAGGGTCGCAGGGCAAGCGGAAGGGGAGTGACCAGGGGGAAGGGTCGCAGGGGAAGCGGAAAGGGAGCGGCGACAAGGGGATAGAGTCACAGGGGAAGCGGTTTTCAGGGACAAGGATGGGGAAGGGGGGGAGGCGGGGGGACAAGTGGGCGGTGAAGCGCATGAGGGGGGGTGCGCATGGGGCAGAGAGGGCGGAGTTTGAGGCTCATGTGGCGGGCTTGGCTCGCCTTGGCCATCCCAACGTGCTGGCGCTCGTGGGCTGGTGCTGCTGGCAGGGCGCAGAGGGGGGAGAGGCAGGGGGGGGGGTGGCAACAGGGGAAGGGAAGGGGAGGGAAGCAAGTGGGGGGAGCGGAAGGAGGGAGGCGCATAGTGGGGTGGAGAGGGAGGTGGGTGTGCGGGAGGATAGGCAGCAAGAAGAGGTGGTGACGGAGGGGGATGTGCCGGGTGGGGAGTTTGAGCAGGAAGGGGCAGTGGATGGGCGGGGGAATGAGGTGGTGTTGGTGTACGAGTGGATGGAGCGGGGCAGCCTGCAGGCAGCACTGCAGCCAGGTGAGCACTGCAGCCAGGTAAGCACTGCAGCCAGGTGAGCACTGAGGGGCCTTTCATTTCATGTACTCTCCAATCTCCCGTTCACCACTCCCCCTGTACCCAATCCACCCTCTTTGCTCTCACCACAGCACCTCACCCCTGCCCCATCGCATCAATGTATTGCTCTCCTCACCACCGCTCGCCTTGTCCCCTCAACCACCCACAGTGGCAGGCGTTCGTCCATTGTCGCTACAGCAGAGGGTGGGCATAGCAGTGGGCGTGCTGAGGGCGCTCAAGGCAGTGCAGAGCCACCGGCAGGTGCATGGCGACCTCAAACCCTCCAACGTGCTGCTCGGGGCCTCCTACGAGGTGCGTGCCTTGCCCTCACACTCACGCTATCTTGGTAGCATGTTCTATTGAGTCGTCTCGCGCACAGGCACTTTAAGCTCTGCAGCATGCTGCTCAGAGCCGCCTGTGAGGTGCATGCGTTGCCCTCACACTCTCACCATCTTGCTGCCATGCGTACATGGCCTACCAAGTGACGCCATAATACTTTCAAGATGCAAGGGAAGGTGTATGTGGCGACCTCAAGAGTAGCAACGTGCTGCCAGGGGCTGCCTTTGAAGCATTGTGTTATGGATCTGATCCGGAGCGCAGCCTTAATGTCATATATACATAAGATTTATCAAGTTGAGAACTGGCGACGTTATCAAAGTCTGGACAAGCGGCGGCTAAACAGCAACAAGACGAGTGCAGATTATGACGTTGCAACACAATTTGTGCATCGTGGCAAGAGCCATGGGCAAGTGCATGGTGACCTCTCAGGCCCTGCAACGTGTTGTTAGGGGCTTCGTTTGAGGTGCCGTGCCGTCAACCACAACAGCGAGTGCCGTTGCAAGTCCATGTGCACATGAACATGGGCGGAGGCTTGAAAAGGAAACGAAATGGTTATTTATCCGTTATCTGCCCCCTCCCTGTCCATCCGTATCGCATGCTCAGACGTTGTGTTCTCACTTTACGTACCTCTAATGCTCTCTGCTTCTCTCCTCCTCCTCCTCCTCCTCCTCCTCCTCCTCCTCCTCCCCTCTTCTCCCAGGCGCGTGTGGCGGACTGGAGTGTGGTGCGCATGGGGCAGCGCGTGCACGTGGACATGGGCGATGGAATGGGAAGGCACCAGGAAGGTTCCTTGCCAAGCGGGAGCGGAATTGATACAGGCAGCGAGGGGAGGAGCAAGAGTAGCAGCAGCACTGACAAGGGTAGCAGCAGCACTGACAAGAGTAGCAGCAGCACTGACAAGGGTAGCAGCAGCACTGACAAGGGTAGCAGCAGCACTGACAAGGGTAGCAGCAGCACTGACAAGGGTAGAAGCAGCACTGACAAGGTTAGCAGCAACACTGACAAGGTTAGCAGCAACACTGACAAGGTTAGCAGCAGCACTGACAAGGTTAGCAGCAACACTGACAAGGTTAGCAGCAGCACTGACAAGGTTAGCAGCAACACTGACAAGGTTTGCAGCAGCACTGACAAGGTTAGCAGCAACACTGACAATAGCAGCAGTGGCAAGAGTGGAAACAGTAACAAGAGTGGAAACACTAACAAGAGTGGAAACAGCAACAAGAGTGGAAACAGTAACAAGAGTGGAAACAGTAACAAGAGTGGCAGCAGTGAGTATTCGTTGGGAACCGGTAGGAGTGGCAGCAGGGGCAGCAGCAGCAGCGGAGGGGAGCAGAGGGTGTATCTGCTGCGGTGCACGGAGGGATATGTAGACCCGGCTGTGCTGCGCACCGGCATTGCCACTCCCACCAGTGACATGTACAGGTGAGGCTTTAACGTACCTGCCTCTGCAACCTTTGTTTTCCAGTGCTGCCACAGCTGTTCCTCCCCTACCCCCCCACCTGTCTGCCCAACCCCCCTGCCAGTGTGCGGATGCTGCTGCTACAGCTGCTCACCTCCCCCCTCCACCGCCCCCCCATCCCGCCTGTGTGCCCATCCCCCCCGCCAGTGTGGGAGTGCTGCTGCTACAGCTGCTCACAGGGTGGGCGGGTCCCTTCAGGGATGTGGATGGGCAGCGCACCCACATCTACCCCTGGGTGCGTGGGGCTCTGGGAAGCATGGTGTGGCATGGCATGGCATGGCATGGCATGGTGTGGCATGGCATGGTGTGGCATGGCATGGCATGGCATGGCATGGCATGGCATGGCATGGCATGGCATGGCATGGCATGGTGTGGCATGGCATGGCATGGCATGGCATGGTGTGGCATGGCATGGCATGGCATGGCATGGCATGGCATGGTGTGGCATGGCATGGCATGGCATGGCATGGCATGGCATGGCATGGCATAGTGTGGCATGGCATGGCATGGCATGGCATGGTGTGGCATGGCATGGTGTGGCATGGCATGGCATGGCATGGCATGGCATGGCATGGCATGGTGTGGCATGGCATGGCATGGCATGGCATGGTGTGGCATGGCATGGCATGGCATGGCATGGCATGGCATGGTGTGGCATGGCATGGCATGGCATGGCATGGCATGGCATGGCATGGCATGGTGTGGCATGGCATGGCATGGCATGGCATGGTGTGGCATGGCATGGTGTGGCATGGCATGGCATGGCATGGCATGGCATGTCATGGCATGGCATGGCATGGCATGGCATGGCATGGCATGGCATGGCATGGCATGGTGTGGCATGGCATGGCATGGTGTGGCATGGTGTGGCATGGTGTGGTGTGGCATGGCATGGCATGGCATGGCATGGTGTGGCATGGCATGGTGTGGCATGGCATGGTGTGGCATGGCATGGCATGGCATGGCATGGCATGGCATGGTGTGGCATGGCATGGCATGGCATGGCATGGTGTGGCATGGCATGGTGTGGCATGGCATGGCATGGCATGGCATGGCATGGCATGGCATGGCATGGCATGGCATGGCATGGCATGGCATGGCATGGTGTGGCATGGCATGGCATGGCATGGCATGGTGTGGCATGGCATGGCATGGCATGGCATGGTGTGGCATGGCATGGCATGGTGTGGCATGGCATGGCATGGCATGGCATGGTGTGGCATGGCATGGCATGGCATGGCATGGTGTGGCATGGCATGGCATGGCATGGCATGGCATGGCATGGCATGGTGTGGCATGGCATGGCATGGCATGGCATGGTGTGGCATGGCATGGTGTGGCATGGCATGGCATGGCATGGCATGGCATGGCATGGCATGGCATGGCATGGTGTGGCATGGCATGGCATGGCATGGCATGGCATGGCATGGCATGGTGTGGCATGGCATGGCATGGCATGGCATGGTGTGGCATGGCATGGTGTGGCATGGCATGGCATGGCATGGCATGGCATGGCATGGTGTGGCATGGCATGGCATGGCATGGCATGGCATGGCATGGCATGGCATGGCATGGCATGGTGTGACATGGCATGGCATGGCATGGCATGGCATGGCATGGTGTGGCATGGCATGGCATGGCATGGCATGGCATGGCATGGCATGGCATGGCATGGCATGGCATGGCATGGTGTGGCATGGTGTGGCATGGTGTGGCATGGTGTGGCATGGTGTGGCATGGCATGGTGTGGCATGGCATGGCATGGTGTGGCATGGTGTGGCATGGTGTGGTGTGGCATGGCATGGCATGGCATGGCATGGTGTGGCATGGCATGGTGTGGCATGGCATGGCATGGCATGGCATGGCATGGCATGGTGTGGCATGGCATGGCATGGCATGGCATGGCATGGCATGGCATGGTGTGGCATGGCATGGCATGGCATGGCATGGTGTGGCATGGCATGGTGTGGCATGGCATGGCATGGCATGGCATGGCATGGCATGGCATGGCATGGCATGGCATGGCATGGCATGGCATGGCATGGCATGGCATGGCATGGTGTGGCATGGCATGGCATGGTGTGGCATGGTGTGGCATGGTGTGGTGTGGCATGGCATGGCATGGCATGGCATGGCATGGCATGGCATGGTGTGGCATGGCATGGTGTGGCATGGCATGGCATGGCATGGCATGGCATGGTGTGGCATGGCATGGCATGGCATGGCATGGCATGGCATGGCATGGTGTGGCATGGCATGGCATGGCATGGCATGGTGTGGCATGGCATGGCATGGTGTGGCATGGCATGGCATGGCATGGCATGGTGTGGCATGGCATGGCATGGCATGGCATGGTGTGGCATGGCATGGCATGGCATGGCATGGCATGGCATGGTGTGGCATGGCATGGCATGGCATGGCATGGTGTGGCATGGCATGGTGTGGCATGGCATGGCATGGCATGGCATGGCATGGCATGGCATGGCATGGTGTGGCATGGCATGGCATGGCATGGCATGGCATGGCATGGTGTGGCATGGCATGGCATGGCATGGCATGGTGTGGCATGGCATGGTGTGGCATGGCATGGCATGGCATGGCATGGCATGGCATGGTGTGGCATGGCATGGCATGGCATGGCATGGCATGGCATGGCATGGCATGGCATGGTGTGACATGGCATGGCATGGCATGGCATGGCATGGCATGGCATGGTGTGGCATGGCATGGCATGGCATGGCATGGCATGGCATGTCATGGCATGGCATGGCATGGCATGGCATGGTGTGGCATGGTGTGGCATGGTGTGGCATGGTGTGGCATGGTGTGGCATGGTGTGGCATGGTGTGGCATGGTGTGGGATGGTGTGGCATGGTGTGGGATGGTGTGGCATGGCATGGCATCACATGGCACACAATGTAGTGCAAACCTCTGCACCCTGCCTCGGCTCGCCTCCTCATTTCCTCCCCTTTCCCACTTCCTGCTCTCCCCCATTCTAACTCCCCCTCTTTCCCACTTCGTGCTTGCTTGCCCTCCCCTCCTTCCCTCCCCCCTGCCATCCTCACTGACCCTCCCCTCCATCCCCCACCTGCAGGCCCAGCAGCACCTAACAGCCGACGACATCTCTCCTCTCCTCGACCCCCTGCTGCCGCAACCTCTGCCCCCTCCTGCCCTCCTCCTCCCCCTCTTCCGCCTTGCCCTCGCCTGCTCCTCCCCCTCCCCCTCCGCCCGCCCCACCCCCTCCTCCGCCCTCACCACTCTCAGGCCCCTCCGCTCCTACCTGCTGCACTGGGGGCAGTCAGGAGGCCGGGAGGGGGGAGAACCGGGGGGGTGGGGAGAGGGGGAAGGGGGAGGAAGCGGAGAGGATGGGGGGGAGAGTGTGGGAAGGGGGAGTGCGGGGAGTTGGAGCAGGCTTTTCAGGGGGGGAAGTGCCGGGTGGAGTGGTGGCAGTGAGTTGGGTGCCAGGCTGGCAATGCTCGGTTCAGAGGACAGTCGGGAGTTTGTGGTGGGAGGTGTTATTTCTTCTCGTGATGTGGAAAGGAGCAGGTGATATCTGACCTTGTATCCTGGGGGAACCACTAATCCAGAGCGTTTTGCATGAAACTGGAAGCGTGTCTCGGTCAGAGAGCAACCAGCAAGCTATAGCTCACCATTGCCTCCCCACTGGCCTCCGCAATTCACCCAATCACCAGCTCATAAAGTAGCACAGTAGATATGGCACTGCCCGCTACCAAGAGCTATCCAATGGTTCCATGATCCATCGGTAAATGATGGAGGCTAGAACCTTCAGCTACCAGTGAGTACCACCGCACTCACCAGCACCACTCACTCACTCCCTAGCACATGGGGAAGTGCCTCTGAAGTGAAATGCAGGTGGAACGTAATGATTCGTACAACAAGAGAGGACCTTGAAGGCATCACCATCTTCACTAGCTTGTGGGGTTCGCTTGATGGTGTCACACACAAAACAAAATACAGAAGGTTTTTTTTTTTTTTTTTTTTTTTTTTGGGGGGGGGGGGGGGGGATGGTGGCACACCTTAAAGGAGGCAACAGCCAATAGTTACGGTTTTGCATCCGGTCGAAAGGCGTTTAACTCTTGTTAAAACGTAATATAACCTCTCTAATGTGAAAATAAGTGTTGATGGTTTGATTTTCCAGTGGTTGGGGAAATAGCCGAACCGCTAAAGCAGTTCAAATCCGACTGACACCTGACATCACCGTTTCCCGCGTGTTTCTTGCTGTGCACTGTGTCGAGAGTGTGTACAACTGTGCAGTTCGCGTCGCCATACGTAAGCGACAACATCTGAGGTGACTGCGAAAGTTGCCAATTGCGAATGCAGGTCATACAGCATTTATTTATTGACCATCCCACAGGCAGCTGATCAGCAGCATCAGGCAAACATCTGGGTGTCACACAAAACTACCCCATCCACCGCACTGCACCACGGCTTACGCCAATTCACCATACATCTGGCAAGTGTAGTGTATATTTTTTCAGCGCCGCCTTTTGGCTGTCGCCATGATCGCCTGGGAAGCGGCGCGGCGATGGGTTGTCCAAGAACGGCTGGCTCGCGGTCGCAGATCTTCGTATCAGTATGTTTCGCGGCGGTCGTCGCCGCTCTCCTGCCGCGTGTCGTCCAGCCCGTGACCCTCGCCAACTCTCAAGGTTCGCTATGCGCGGGAAGGAATTTTAGGGTTCGAACCCGAGTGTCTCTTTCATTTCCCCAGTGATGGCCGGGTACGATCAGCTAACTGAGCCCTCATGTGCGTTCTCGCACGAGCAGGTTCAAGCAGAGTCCAAGCGTCACGCTGATACAGCTGACCTTCGTTCAGCTTGCCTCGCATTCTCCGCAAACGTTTTGCCCCATTATGGACCTCTGGTCTCTTCAAGAAACGGAACTTCCGTCCTATCATACCCTGCCGCCAGCCTCGCGTACTTATTCTCCTCTCCTCCTCCCCCTCCTCCTCCTAACCCCTCTCCCTCTCTCTCTCCCTTTTCCTCTCCTTCTCCCTCTCCCTCTCCCTCTCCCTCTCCCTCTCCTGCCCTCAAATCCCGTATTCCTGCTGTCCGCCTCGCCTTTCCCCCCTTTATCTCCCCCCCAATGGGCGCGCAGCGACGGCGCTGAAGGAGTGCGCGGCGGAGTGGGGGGTGAGCGCGACGGAGTGGGCGCAAGGCGCGGACTGCGCGACGAAGGAGACGATCACGTGCGACAAGGACGGCATGGTCACAGAGCTGTCAGTGCCCCGGGGAATGGTAGCGCGCATGGGGGAAGCGCTTCCGGACGCATGGGGGGAAGCGCGTGGGAGGCGCGGGATGAAGGGAGCAGAGCAAGGGCAAAGGCGCAAGGAAGAGGGGGGGGGTTGCGATGAGGGGAGCAGCGGGGTATAGCAGATGCGCATGGGGGAAGGGGCGAGGGGCGTGAGAGCGAGAGCCGGGGGCACGCGTGCCACTGAGTGCCATCCAGTGCTGCTGCTGCTGCTGCTGCTGCTGCTGCTGCTGCTGCTGCTGCTGGCGCTACACATGCATGGGTTGTCACCTCGCATGCTTCATCCATCCATCCATCGCGCTCGTCCGTTGCGCCACCCGCATCATTGCCCCTTCGCTGCCTGTCTACCCCGCCTCCCCAACCTCCCACTTGGTTCTCCCGCGTGTTGCGCAGGCACCTGAATTCAAAGTTCCTCACGGGCTCCATCCCCCTCGCCCTCGCCGCGCTCTCCCGCCTGGACATGCTGTGAGTCAAGGGCCGGGGGGCCAGCTGCCTCGCCCTGCCCCGAGCTGCCTCTTGCTCGCTCTCTCCGCACTTCACCCATACAATCCCGCCTTCCTTATTGCCCTTCCCTTCCATCCCTCCTCCCCCACCCCCCTCTCTCCGGTGCTGCCAGGGATCTGCAGTCCAACAGTCTCTCCGGCCCTGTGCCCCCCGCGCTCTCCGCCCTCCCCCTGCGCTTCCTGTGAGATTCACTGAGAGGCGCAGTGAGAGGCACCACCCCCTTATGAGGCACACGGCCTCCATGCATGTGCACATGGCAGGCACGTGCTGCTTGAGTGATTTCGAGAGTTGCTTGCTTGAGACGCCAAATTCTGTGACCCTTCTGTGCGTGTGCACCTGCTTGCGCACGCCTGTGTTTCTGTTTGTATGTACATCTTTTCCTGTGCGTACGTCTGTTCATGTATGTCTGCATCACTGCATGCATGCATGTGTGCGTGCGTGCATATGCATGTGCATGTGTGCATGTGTGCATGTGTCCATGCGTGCATGTGTGCATGTGTGCATGTGTGGGTGTGTGCATGTGTGCATGTGTGCATGTGTCCATGTATGCATACAGGAGGCTGAGCAACAACAACCTCACAGGTCCTGTCTTCGCTGTCATTGCGCGCATGCCATCACTCGTCGAACTGTAAACCCCACCTCAATCGTTATTTCCCTTTCCTCCACATCCGCACACACCTCCTCGACTGCTTATCAGCCGTTCCACCACCACTTCCCCTCGGCCTCTCCCCTCGCCCTCCATCCCCCTCTCGCGTTCACCATTACCACAGCGAATGCCATTCTTGCTCGCACCACCCCTTTTGTGCCCGCGTCCTCGCAGTATAATGAACTCCAATGACTTTCACGGGCCGCTGCCGAAAGCCTTCGCCCACCTCTCCGCCCTCAACCGCCTGTACGCCACTCCTTTCTCTACCCTCTCCTCTCCCCACAATCACCTCTCCCACCCTCTCCTCTCTCTCCCACCTCTGCCTGCTTCTATGCCAGCTTCATTTCCCAACATCCTATGCCATACCATGCCATACCATGCCATGCCTTGCCATATCATGCCATGCCATGCCTTGCCATACGATGCCATGCCATACCAACCATCCCATCCCATCCATCCCACCTGACGTTACGCCATCCCCTCCCTGCCCTCTCCCCCCCACACACCTCCTCAGGTGGGTCACATCGACGGGTCTCTCTGGCCCGCTGCTCGATCACATCACTACCCTCTCGTCCCTTACATCCCTGTAACGCACGCCTCTCTTCCCTTGAATTTCTGTAACGCACGCCTTTTTTCCAAAGTGTGTACGCACGCCAAGCGTCCTTTGAATCCCTGTAACACTCAACTCCTTCCACTGCACTACCTACAACACATCCCTCTCTCCTGCTGCACTAACTTTAACGCACGCCTCTTTTCCATGCACTACCTGTAACACACGCCTCTCTCTTCCCTGCATTATACTATGTGTAGTGCTTTGATGCAGCAGCATGTTCCCCCAGCCTTGCCACTTTTGGTGCTTGGCTCTGTACGGTTCCACTACGATAGCAGCCAGATAGAGCTCAGCAGCACGAATTCAACGCACTGAAGATCTTAAAGTATCATAAGTAGGCATGAAACAACTACAAAAACACATAAGCACAAAGGGAGTCGAGGCCTTCTTTCCGACCTTGAATTTGCTAACTGAAAGTTGACTGCAAGCTGAGTGCAAGTCGCAATCACAATCCATGGTTCAGTGTTTGTTGCTTTTATTCATTGCTCGCATTGTCGCTTGCTTGCCACCACATTACAGCAGTTGCCTCCTCACTCTCCCTCTCATCGCATGGGTATGACCCGTTGCTTGCACATGTATTTACAGTCCCTTGTACGTAGTATGTAGTATGTATGTGCTTCCTTGTGGCACTGATACCATCAGCTACGCACTTGTGTTGCCTGCGAGAGTTCTCAAAGTGACTTGCACATGTCATGTCCCTTGTATGTGCGTGCATGTATCATGTATGTACTGGCACCATCAGCGATGCATCAGTCAACAACATCACAGGAAGCATCCCCGCCACCATCACTGCCCTCTCCCTCCTCGTGTCCCTGTTAGTTGCACACGCAACTCCTCTTCCTATTTTTTATTTTAATGCTGATTTTTAATGATATCTTCTAGATAAATACACAAATTGTGCATGTCTGTGGGCGTTGCAAGCAGCTCTAGTGCGTCTCGCCCCTCCCTCTTGCTTGTATGCGCTGCGCCCCACTGCTGCTCTTCTGCTTGTGGCACTGCGGCTGATGGAGAGGGCTGAAGGCGAATTCAAGAGCACGGGGTAATCCTGCCCATCCGTTTGGTCCATCCCTCCCCACCCCTGTCCCTCACATGCACGGCAGGTCGCTGGGTCAGAACTCCCACCTCTCAGGCTCACTGCCCCGCGCCCTCTCTCGCCTCACCACCCTCCAAGAGATGTCAGCACCTGCCACCCCCGCTCCTCCTCATCCTCCACTCCTGCCCGTTGCTCCTCCACCACCCCTGTCTGCTCCTCTCCCCCCCTCCTCCCCTTCGCACCCCTGCTTCAATCTAACTCTTCACCCCTCTGCACCGCCTCTCACCACTCTGTCTTGCACTGCCTCCTATAGCACCTGTTGTCTCCCCTCTCATGCACCCAGCTACTCCCACCACTCTCTCCTCCACCTCTCTCTCCTCCACCACTCTCTCCTCCACCTCTCTCTCCTCCACCTCTCTCCCCTCCACCTCTCTCCCCTCCACCTCTCTCCCCTCCACCTCTCTCCCCTCCACCTCTCTACCCTCCACCTCTCTCCCCTCCACCTCTCTCCCCTCCACCTCTCTCCCCTCCACCTCTCTCCCCTCCACCTCTCTCCCCTCCACCTCTCTACCCTCCACCTCTCTCCCCTCCACCTCTCTCCCCTCCACCTCTCTCTCCTCCGCCTCTGCCACTGGCCTCCGTTTTCATCTTCCCTACTCCTCCCATTCTCTTCCTCTTCCTCCCTCCTCTCTTTCACCGACATCTCCCTCTGCCCCTCACCCTCTCCTCGCTCTCGGCCCCTTCACAAGCTCATGTCCCTCCAATCGCATGCCACTGCGTATGCCGCTACATTGCCTTATGAATTCCTTCTTTGCTTGCCATCCTGCGCCTCTCTCCTCTTCGTCATGCCTCATCTCCCTCCCTTTCCATGTGCCCCATCTCCCTTCTTCGCTCATCGTTTCATCGTCTCCCGTCCTCAACACATCATCTCCCCTCCCCTATCCTCCTCCCCCTCTCCTCCCCCTCTCCACCAGCACACTCGGAGACACGGCCATTTCAGGCGAGCTGCCTCGCTTCCTCACCGCCCTCACACGTCTCACCAGCCTGTGCGCCGTCCCCATCCCTCTGCCTCCCCACCCTCTGTGCCCCTCTCTTCGCCCCCCCTTGCACCTCTCTCGCCCCTCTGCACTCTTTGTGTCATTCGTATATCTCAAATTCCTACTTCCTGCCATATTTACTTCCTGCCATATCTACTTCCTGTCATATCTACTTCCTGCCATATCTCCTTCCTGCCATATCTCCTTCCTGCCATATCTCCTTCCTGCCATATCTCCTTCCTGCCATATCTCCTTCCTGCCATATCTACTTCCTTCCATCTCAACCTTCTGCCATCTCAACCTTCTGCCATCCTGTTCAACCTAACGAATGCTGCTTGCTTCAACCCGCACCCTCCCTCCCATTCTGTCATTGCCTTTCGTTTTCTCTTCTCCTTTTCCCCCCCTCCCTTCTGTCCCCAAACCTTGTCTTGTCCCATACAGTGACGTGCATAACACGAAGCTTCATGGAACCATCCCCGCCACTTACGGAGCTTTCAATTTCTACTCCTTGTGTGATTTCCTCCTCTTTTCTCGCTTATACCCGTGCTAACCTCTCTTTCTCCTCCAATCCCTTGCAATGCAACTGCCTCACTCCAACCCATTATCGTTTTATATGTTTGAAATTTTGAAATGATATGGACACATAAAGATACATTCTTTCATATCCATTTGAAATGATATGGACACATAAAGATACATTCTTTCATATCCATTTGAAATGATATGGACACATGAAGATACATTCTTTCATATCCATTTGAAATGATATGGACACATAAAGATACATTCTTTCATATCCATTTGAAATGATATGGACACATAAAGATACATTCTTTCATATCCCTCTCTTACAGCACTCGAAATGAATGCAGAAAAGTTCACGGAAGGTAGACCGCTGGGGTCCTCCTCACGGCCCCATCCATCCACCCCCGTGTATCCTCCACCTGCCCCTGTTCTCTCTCAGTCAGTTCTCTGGGGTACCGGTAGCTTGCCCAACGGAGGGCAGCAGCTGTGAAATCAATCAGAACCGTTCATCCACGTTTTGCAAGCTCTGCTCATCGTTCTGCTCCGTGTGTATCCCGATGAATGGTCAGGATCGCCCCTAATATGCACCCCCACATCGCTTGCGTCCCTGCCATTCTTTTCCGACTTTTGAGTCGATGGAAGAGTGCTACAACCGTACCTCTCACGTTTTCACTCTGCAAATTCGCCCTCAAGCATTCCCTGCAAATTCGCCCTCAAGCATTCCCTGCAGATTCGCCCTCAAGCATTCCCTGCAGATCCGCCCTCAAGCATTCCCTGCAGATTCGCCCTCAAGCATTCCCTGCAAATCCGCCCTCAAGCATTCCCTGCAGATTCCCCCTCAAGCATTCCCTGCAAATCCCCCCTCAAGCATTCCCTGCAAATCCCCCCTCAAGCATTCCCTGCAAATCCCCCCTCAAGCATTCCCTGCAAATCCCCCCTCAAGCATTCCCTGCAAATCCCCCCTCAAGCATTCCCTGCAAATCCCCCCTCAAGCATTCCCTGCAAATCCCCCCTCAAGCATTCCCTGCAAATCCCCCTCAAGCATTCCCTGCAAATCCCCCTCAAGCATTCCCTGCAAATCCCCCCTCAAGCATTCCCTGCAAATCCCCCCTCAAGCATTCCCTGCAAATCCCCCCTCAAGCATTCCCTGCAAATCCCCCCTCAAGCATTCCCTGCAAATCCCCCCTCAAGCATTCCCTGCAAATCCCCCCTCAAGCATTCCCTGCAAATCCCCCCTCAAGCATTCCCTGCAAATCCCCCCTCAAGCATTCCCTGCAAATCCCCCCTCAAGCATTCCCTGCAAATCCCCCTCAAGCATTCCCTGCAAATCCCCCCTCAAGCATTCCCTACAAATCCTCCTCAAGCATTCCCTGCAAATCCCCCCTCAAGCATTCCCTGCGATCCCCGCTGACCTTTTCTTCCATTCTCTGGTTCCCTTTCTTCCATTCTCTGGTTCCCTTTCTTCCATTCTCTGGTTCCCTTTCTTCCATTCTCTGGTTCCCTTTCTTCCATTCTCTGGTTCCCTTTCTTCCATTCTCTGGTTCCCTTTTTTCCATTCTCTGGTTCCCTTTCTTCCATTCTCTGGTTCCCTTTCTTCCATTCTCTGGTTCCCTTTCTTCCCATCCGCCCACCCATCCCCTTCTTCCCGTCCCGCATCCCATCCCCTCCCCCACCAGCACCAATCTCCAGACCACCTCCCCCTTCTTCCCCCCCTCCTCCGCCATTCCCCTCCCCCCCGCCTCCTCCCCCCACCATCACCGTCCTCCTCGCCCCCCTTTCCCCTCCTCCCCCTCCGCCCTCCTCCCTCCCACTGTCCGCGATTGCGGGGGCAGCAGCGGGTGCAGTGGCGCTGCTGCTGCTGGTGTTGGCGTTGGGGTGGGGGGTATGGAGGTGGAGGAAGGGGAGGAAAGGGAGGGAGCAGTCGGGGGAGGATTCGAGTGAGTGGGAGGGGAGAGGTGGAAAGGGGAAATGTTGATCGCATATGGCATGAAGACGTGTTTGCATGATGGCGTGATGCTGTGATGCTTGTCACTTTCAATGCAACGTGTCGGCATGTGGTGTGCGTGGTTTTGAACATTGTGTGAGTGAGACGTATTGCTGTCTTCTTCATTCCCCCACCCCTCTCCTCCTCGCCTGCGTTCTCGCCACCCCTTTTAACCCAAAGTTCCCTTGCTTCCTCAACTTGTGTTGAACGAAACAAAACAAGGCAAACTAACAAACAAATCAACCAACCAACCAGCAAGCACACAAACAAACAAACAAGTAAGGAAACAAAGAAGCCAAGAAACAAACCAATCAAGAAAGGAAGGAAGAAAGAAAGGAAGAAAGAAAGGAAGAAAGAAAGGAAGAAAGAAAGAAAGAAAGGAAGAAAGAAAGAAAGAAAGAAAGAAAGAAAGAAAGAAAGAAAGAAAGAAAGAAAGAAAGAAAGAAAGAAAGAAAGAAAGAAAGGAAGGAAGAAAGAAAGAAACAGATCTCTCCTCTGCTTCCTTTCGTGCATTTTCCCAGCTCGTTCCCCCCGCGCATTCCCCCGCCTAATTTCCTTCTTCCCGCCCTTTCCGACATTTCCCCTCCAGCTGCGCCCATGCTAAACCGCTCACCTGCCTGCCCTCACATCCCCCTGGCGGACATCCTCAGAGCCACCAATGGGTGGGCGGAGGGGCGGAGGGTGGGGGGAGGCAGGTGGAGTGACGTGTACCGGGGGGAATGGGTGGAGGAGGGGGATGGGGGGAATGGGGAGAAGCATGGGGGGAAGGATGAAGGGAAGGAGACGGAGGGAATAGGAAAGATGAAGCGGCAAGGGGGAGAGGTGTCGGGGAGGGCCAAGGGGAAGCGGGAGGGGAGCGACAAGGGGGGAGGCTCACAAGGCAAGCAGCTGTCAGGGACGAAGGTGTGGAAGGGGGGAAGGCCGGGGGACAATTGGGCAGTGAAGCGCATGAGGGGGGGGGCGCATGGGGCAGAGAGGGCGGAGTTTGAAGCTCATGTGGCGGGCTTGGCTCCCCTTGGTCACCCCAACGTGCTGGCTCTCGTGGGCTGGTGCTGCTGCCCTGTAGAGAAGGAGGGGGTGGGGGGTGCAGAGGCAGAGGGGGAGGGCGGGGAGAAGGAGGCGCGTGTGTGGGGCGAGAGTAAAGTGGCAGCAGGAGGGAGCGGGCGGGAGGGGGGGAATGAGGTGGTGTTGGTATACAAGTGGATGGAGCGGGGCAGCTTGGAAGCAGCACTGCAACCAGGTGTGTGTGTGCCATAGTGTCAGAACAGAATGCTTGAATCAATAAACTAAAAGAAAGGCATTCGCCACTCTGACCGAACTTGTATTGTTGAGTTGACAGACTGGTTGGATTACGAGGGAATCCCAAACGCATAAGGTTGGGTTAACAAATCAACACCTAAATTACAAATCTCCTGCTTAATATAAAATAGAGTACACACAATGTTGGCATGGCAGCCTAATTTGAGCTCATCCGGCACGATGACGTTCAACCACTCATTCAAACTCACAATTCGCCTTCAACCACTGCTTAAACCTATCCTCTCGTGCCTAGTCTCACAACCGCACAACCTGCCTGCCCCATGGCACCGACCCCTTGCCATGTCCATCCATCCCCAAACTCCATTGCCAGGCGCCACCCCGTTGTCGTTGCAGCAGCGGGTGGGCATAGCAGTGGGCGTGCTGAGGGCGCTCAAGGCAGTGCAGAGCCACGGGCAGGTGCATGGCGACCTCAAACCCTCCAACGTGCTGCTCGGGGCCTCCTACGAGGTGCGTGCCTTGCCTTGCTTTCTGTCCTGCTAGCATGCCCTGTTGAGTCGACTCAAGAGCCACGCGTAGGTACTTCAAGATCTGCCACGTGTTGCTCGGAGCCGCCTTTGAGGTGGGTGCCCTGCCTTCACTCCCACGCTACCTTGCTGCCATGAGTGTGTGGATACTCCACCAATTGATTCAAACCGTAACTTAACAGAGCTGTATGTCGCCCTTGAATTGAACAAGTGTCACAAGTTCAACAAATGGATGTTGTATTAAAGAAAAATCAATTGCCGACTAAGAAAGCCTCCTCGTTCCAATCCAATGCCCCTCCCGCTGAGTCAGCCTGCTGGTGCTATGCCCCATCCATGCTCGCATCAAGCCCCGCCCCGTCTCGTGCCTGCCTGCACAGCCCTCCTCTCGTCTCACGCCCCTCCCGCCCTCCCTGCCCCACTTCCTCCTCCCCCCTTCTCCCAGCCACGTGTGGCTGACTGGAGTGTGGTGCGCATGGGGCGGCGCGTGCATGTGGACATGGGCGATGGCTTGGAACGGCACCGGGAAGGCTTTTTCGCTAGCGGGAGGGGGGACGACAGACGCGCCAGCAACAGCAGCAGCAACAAAAACAGCAACACCAACAACAGCAACAACAGCAACAACAGCAACAACAGCAACAACAGCAACAGCAACAACAGCAACAGCAACAACAGCAACAGCAGCAGCAGCAACAACAGCAACAGCAACAACAGCAACAGCAACAGCAACAACAGCAACAACAGCAACAACAGCAACAGCAACAACAGCAACAGCAGCAACAGCAGCACTAACAAGGATAGCAGCAGTTACAAGAGTGGAGGTAGTGGGTATTCATGGGGCTCCAATAGGAGTGGCAGCAGGAGCAGCAGCAGCAGCGGAGGTGGGCAGAATGTGTATGTGCTGCGGTGCACGGAGGGGCATGTGGACCCGGCTGTGGCACACACCGGCATTGCCACTCCCACCAGTGACATGTACAGGTGGGAGCAACATGTACAGCGGGCTTTAATCAGTGACAGGTGGGGACTTAGTTCCGCTCTCCAGTGACATGCACAGGTGGGTCTTTAGTCCTCCCTCCGACCAGGGACATCTACAGGTAGGGCTTTGAACCCTCCCACCAGTGACATGCACAGGTGGGGCTTCAATTTCACCCACCGATGGCATGTAGAGGTGGGGCTTTAATCTTCCTGCATCTCCTCCTGTGATCGACTCTTCCAGTGTGTTCCAGGGCTGACAGGCATGTGAGGTGGTGTGCACCACTCAGCCAGACCAACCTGCACTAGATGCCACCTTCCCGCTCCCTCCTATCCAACCTCTCCCCTTCCTCCTATCCAACCTCTCCCCTTCCTCCTATCCAACCTCTCCCCTCCCTCCTCTCCACCTCCCTTCTCCCTCCTTCTCCCTATCTCCACTCTACCTTCCCCTTCCACTTTCAACCTGCGCTCGCCAGCGTGGGGGTGCTGCTGCTACAGCTGCTCACCTCCCCCCTCCACCGCCCCCCCATCCCGCCTGTGTGCCCATCCTCCCCGCCAGTGTGGGAGTGCTGCTGCTACAGCTGCTCACAGGGTGGGCGGGTCCCTTCAGGGATGTGGATGGGCAGCGCACCCACATCTACCCCTGGGTGCGTGGGGCTCTGGGAAGCATGGGATTGGCATGGCATGGCATGGGGTGGCATGGGGTGGCATGGGGTGGCATGGGGTGGCATGAGGTGGCGTGGAGTGGCATGGCATGGTATGGCATGGGTGGGGCAGCCACCCACATCTAAACCTGGGTGCATGGGACTCAGCCGGTCAGGGTATTATTGTCTGGGATGGCATGGCATGGGGATGGCATGGCGTGGCATGGGATGGCATGGCATGACAGGACATGATATGACATGGCAGGGCAGGGCGGCGAAAGGCATGGCGGCGAAGGGCATGGCGGGGCAAGGAGGGGAGGGTAGGGAAGGGCATGGCAGGGCATGGCATGGAATGGCATGGGATGGCATGGCAGGACGTGGCATGGAATGGCATGGTAGGACGTGGCATGGAATGGCATGGCAGGACGTGGCATGGAATGGCATGGCAGGACGTGGCATGGAATGGCATGGCAGGACGTGGCATGGAATGGCATGGCAGGACGTGGCATGGAATGGCATGGCAGGACGTGGCATGGAATGGCATGGCAGGACGTGGCATGGAATGGCATGGCAGGACGTGGCATGGAATGGCATGGCAGGACGTGGCATGGAATGGCATGGCAGGACGTGGCATGGAATGGCATGGCAGGACGTGGCATGGAATGGCATGGCAGGACGTGGCATGGAATGGCATGGCAGGACGTGGCATGGAATGGCATGGCAGGACGTGGCATGGAATGGCATGGCAGGACGTGGCATGGAATGGCATGGCAGGACGTGGCATGGCATGGCATGGCAGGACGTGGCATGGCATGGCCCACCTCCTCCTCTTCCCTCTCCCTACCTACCCCTGTGCACCTCCCCACCTGCTTCCCCTTCCCTTGCCCATCTCCCCCTCCCCCTCCCTTTCCCCATCTGCAGGCCCAACAGCACCTAACAGCCGGTGACATATCCCCTCTTCTCGACCCCTTGCTACCGCCCCCCCGCCCCTCTCCCGCCCTCCTCCTCCCACTCTTCCACCTCGCCCTCGCCTGCTCCTCCTCCTCCCCCTCCTCCCGCCCCACCCCCTCCTCTGCCCTCGACGTTTTCAGGCCCTTCCGCTCCTCCCTGCTTGATCGGGTGAAATCAGGGGACAGGGAAGGGGGAGAATGCGGGGAAGGGGAAAAAGGGGAGGGGGGAGAAAAGGGGGAAAAGGGAGAGGGGGAGGGAGGAAAGGAGAGGGGAGAGTGGGAGAGGGGAGAAGAGGAGGGTAGAGGAGAAGGGGAGGGAGGAGAAAAGGGAGAGGATGTGGGGGAGTGTGTGAGGGTGGAGAGTGGAGGGAGAAGGAGTGGGGTGTCCATTGAGGAAAGCTCTGAGGGAGCGGGGAGATGGAGCGGTGGCAGTGCGCTGGGTGCCAGGCTGGCAATGCTCGGTGCAGTGGATAGTAGGGAGTACGTGGTGTAGACATGCAAGCATTCTCTGCCTTGGTATAGTGGATGAGGGATTATCTATCCATATAGAGGGCATGCGTTATCTATCCATGTACACTAGAAGACGCACTCAGGTGTGCCATCATGCCATCGTGCCAATTGCCATCTTGCCATCTTGCTTCTCTAAGCAACCGCACAGGCCTCAACCATATGTCGCAGCATGATGGAAGAGTGCCTCGAAACGAAAATAGAGGGGCCAATATCACATTCACATGATGCTTAAAGCCCGAGCCTAGAAAGGTAAAGGTTCAACTTCAAGATTCTTGAACTTGTGTTCGTCAAGAACAGGGTAACCAGGTTCGGAAAGCTGATCTCTCGCGGCTCACCGAGAAGGGAGTTCGTGAGGCAGAAGGTGATTGGCCAAGTGCCCCACACCAAAAACACCGACGATGGGAGGGGGACGGGAGGGGGACGGGCGGGGGAAGCGAGGGCGACGGGAGGGGGAAGCAAGGGCGACGGGAGGGGGCAGCAAGGGTGATGGGTTGGGGAAGCGAGGGCGACGGGAGGGGGAAGCGAGGGCGACGGGAGGGGGAAGCAAGGGCGACGGGAGGGGGCAGCAAGGGTGATGGGTTGGGGAAGCGAGGGCGACGGGAGGGGGAAGCGAGGCCGACGGGAGGGGGAAGCGAGGGCGATGGTGGGGGAAGCGAGGGCGATGGGCGGGGGAAGCTGGTGCGACGGATGGGGGAAGCTGTGGCGACGGACGGTGGATGCGAGATATCGACAGACGGGGGAAGCGAGGTCGACAAAGCTCTAATTTCTCATCTCGTGCAACACAATTTCTCCGTGCTTGACACTCGCATTCGCGCCACATTCCCTCCTTCGGTCCTCGGATTCCTCTCGATTCCGGCAGAAAAGCATATGTTTCACATGTTATACCTAGCTATTTTACTCTGGATACTTACTAGTTTCCCAACACCGATGCGGCGATGCTCTATCTGGACTTACTCGCGATTCTCTTGTGGACTTACCAGAAATCCAGATTGTTTTTTGGGTTGCGAAGCAACCTATTACGATCGATTTGGCCAGTTTTTTTTTTTTTCACATTTTCACATTTTATTTATTTAAAATAAAATATGAAAATAAAAAAAAAACTGATTTTCCTAATTGATAGCTACGGAAACTGTAGGAGGTCCTGTCTAGTTCAATTATACTAACGTGGTGGTACCGATTTTTTTAGACAACTAGGTTATTTCTGTGATTTACTTGGCTGTGATTTACAACCGTATAATATGCACATAATATGATGATATGAATATAATGATCGGTGAATGTAGATGAATAGATTGATATTATATGAAATATATTGTGTATGATATGATATGATATGATAAATGATAAATGCATGCCTTATGTTCGATACGAATAATGCTTACATATTACTGACAATCTATGATGCATATTTATAATGATAGAGATGCGTGAAAGCTAACGACCCAAAAACTATGCTACCGCATCCCCCGCCTAGCATGTCGGGGAGTTGATAGCATAATCTTTGAACAATCAGCAGTCACATGAGACAACACAATCTGTGAACTCCAAAAAGATGGTCAACTTTATCATCTCCAGTTCAAGTGGGCTCCCGACAAGCGCGCCAATGAACCTTTTAGTAAAGATGATAGAGCCGATTCACCTTTTTAAAATTCAAAGACATGCATTGTTATTGCAATGATGGATGAATGCACACTCAGACAAGCAAACACATTCACAACAACCAAACGCATGCACAACAAAAAAACGAGCCGGAAACCCACGATAAGACATAAAAGATGCAAAACAAAATAAAGATGGCAATATGGGAAATCCTATAAGTGACAACTACAAATTGTCCAGATTGCACTTGTCTTCTTGATCAGCAAAACTCCTGAAAACAAAAACAAAGTAGATAAAGAGAAAAAGAAATCATAGAAAAGTGGTAAATATAAATAATCAGGACCAAGAGAGAGGGAACATGAGAGAGAGAGAGAACGAGAGAGAGAGAACGAGAGAACAAGAACGAGAAAACGAGAGAGAAAGAGAACGAGAGAGAGAGAACGAGAGAGAGAGAGAGAACGAGAGAGAGAGAGAACGAGAGAACAAGAATGAGAAAACGAGAGAGAAAGAGAACGAGAGAGAGAGAGAACAAGAGAGAGAACGAGAGAGAGAACGAGAGAGAGAGAGAACGAGAGAGAGAGAGAACGAGAGAGAGATCGAGAGAGAGAGGACGAGAGAGGGAGAACGAGAGAGAGAGACCGAGAGAGAAAGAAAACGAGAGAGAACGAGAGAGAGAGAACGATAGAGAGAAAACGAGAAACGAGAGGGAGAGAACGAGAGAGGGAACGAGCGAGAGAGAACGAGGGTGAACGATCGAGAGCGAGAGCGAGAGTACGAGAGTGAAATAACGAGAGAGAGAGAGAGAAGAGAGAGAGAACGAGAAAACGAGGGAGAATGAGAGAACGAGAGAAAGAGAGAACAAGAGAGAGAGAGAGAGAACGCGAGAGAGAGAGAGAGAAAACGGGAGAGAAAGAACGAGGGAGAACGAACGAGAGAACGAGAAAGAACTAGACAACGAGAGAACGAGAAAGAGAACGAGAAAGAGAATGCTCCAACCTAATAATTTAACTCTCTGAACATAATTGTTAATAATCATGTCAAATTTCAATTAAGGAAGAGGAATAAATCAAGAAACAGCGTACGGAAGAAGACAAAAGTAAGAGCAAGAGCTGAAAAGAGCAAGCAAGTAGAATGTAAATCGAAATAAAGGAGAGAAGAAGATGGGAAGAAGTGGAGAGAAGGAGAGGGAAGGAGAGAACAAAAGTACGGTGCATAACCTAGGAAGAAAGCGAGGTTAAGAAACAAAATACGTCTAGATCTCGTTTAAAAAAAAACAACTCTCAACCAAATGAGCTAAACTAGAACCCACTCTCAACTAGAATGAACTTAAGAATAGAGAGAATGAGGCTTACCTTAACTAGGAGTTATAGTCTGAGTGGTGTGAGTGGCGTGAGTGGCGTGAGGGACGGGGAGAAGCTAGAGTAGTCTGACTAGGTGGAAGAGAAACGGAGCAAAAAGACATGACGAAACCCTAGAATGGGACGTTTTTATTGCATTTAAGGTCGATATATTTTACGCCACTACAAGCACGGATTGCATAGCACAGCTCTGTCGAAGCCGCGTTTCATCGCGAAGGTCGGGAATTTGAGTCTGGTCATGGACATTGTTTCGGTAAACTAAAGCTTTTCCTTTCTGTAGCTTTTTTTGTTTCAGATTTTCAGTCACCCTAAAACCAAATCATATCAACACAACAAGAATAACTTACCCTAAACAACCACACCCATCTGTTGTGTACACCCTTTCATTTGTATATTCCCATATTATATGAAACATGTATCTATGTGTGAAGAAATGAGGAATGAATTGACTAAGGGAAAGTTGGGTACAAAAGCAAACCCTAGAAAACTGTACCCCATATGTGCTACCCCACTATAGCCTACAGTAGCTATGTCATATAAATCTGACACACCCCCATAGGCAAAGTGGGGGAGAACAAGGGGTCACAAGACCAGTCAAGCAAAGCAAAGCAAGCTCAGGGTGGATCACAAAGTCACCACACATTCCGAGCACAAGTTCAAGGCCACAAGGCCAGTTCACATGCAGGATTACATATATATATAAGGCTAGACAAGCAAGAGCAGGTGTATATATATATGCAACAGTACAAACAAGGTCAAGGGGTGAGCAAGTGAGGCAAGGTAGGCACAAGACCCAGCTGAGTACAAAAGCGCTGATGATCACAAGGCGCAAGTGCCTTGGTGAAGATATCAGCAGTGTTGGCCTCAGAGGCCACGTACGCAAGCCGCAGCTGACCACGCTGCTGTAGCTCACGAGCAAGGAAGTAGCGGAGAGCAATGTGCTTCGTTCTGTGCTCTAGTCTCTGCTCTCGACACAAGGCCAGCATGGCCTTGTTGTCTAAGTACAGCACTGGAGGAGAACGAGGCGGCTCTCCGAGGTCAGTCAGCAGGTAGGTGAGCCAGCGAAGCTCCTGTGCAGCCATGGCCCCGGCGTAGATCTCAGCCTCACAACTGGAGCCGAGAACAGAAGACGAGCGGGTAGCCCGCCACGAAACAGAGCCGGAACCAAGGCTGAAGGTGTAACCCTGTGACGACCGCTGCGTAGCCTGGTCGTCAGCCCAAGAAGCGTCTGCGTGCCCAGTGAGGACCATTGGACTCTGCCCTCCAAGCACAAGCCCCATGCCCGACGTACTGCACAAGTAGCGCAACACCCTCTTCGCTGCAGCCATGTGCTCCGGTCTGTGTCTCCCAGGAGCAACATAGCGTGCAAGAATGCTAAGAGGGTATGCAAGGTCAGGTCGTGTGCAGGTCATCAGGTACATGAGGCAGCCAACAAGCTCTGGGTACGGGCCACTCGACTCTACGGACTCATCCGAAGGCAGAGCTGAGAGCGAGTGGCGAGTAGGCAGAGGAGTGGCCTGAGGCGAGGAGTACGTGAAGCCGAAGCGCTGAAGGACCTGCTGCACCATGTGTGACTGAGTCAGGGTAATGGTGCGGCGTGCTCTGTCCCGGGTGATCTGCAAGCCAAGGTAGCTGCGCAGTTCACCCAGGTCTGTGCACGTGTGTCTCTTCTGCAGCTCGGACTTCACGTGGGCGAGTCCAGCAGTGTCAGCTGTGGCGAAGACCAAGTCGTCGACGTACACGAGGATGTAGAACGGCGGCAAAGAAGTGTCGGTGCGCAGAACAGCGACGGGTCGGCAGTAGAGGGAGCAAACCCAAGAGCCGCAAGTGTAGTCCTCAGTGTGTCGTGCCACTCACGCGGTGCCTGGCGGAGACCGTAGACTGGCCGCCGGAGGCTCCACTGGGTGCCAGGAGGAAAAGACCCAGTGAAGCCAGGTGGGCGACGCAGCCAGATCTCCTCGTGCAGGCTGCCCTGCAAGAAAGCAGTGCTGAAGTCAAGAGAGTGCAGCTCGTAGTCGCGGTGAGC